CGCAAGCAACTGTGTGGCCAGTGGGCCTTTAAGTGTGGTGTTATTCGTAATTGAGGAGGCCCTTGAGAAGTTGTGTGCTTGGCACCATGGTTTGTTGTTTAAGACTTTGCCCGAGGGCTTGTAGGGCCAACCATTTATGGACGGCCCTTGTGTGCCGTATACTTGGAGAAGTCCTTTTTGACCTAGGAAGTAACTTGTTTTCCTTAATCAAGGGGCATTGGGCATCCAGGGGTCTTCCCTACACCCTAGCCCTTAACCTTAAACCCTAAACCCTACAGCCTAAACCCTAAACCCTAAACCCCAAACCCTAAACCCTAAACCCCAAACCCTTGTGAAGAGTGGGTATCTGGTAGGGCCGCCTCCTTGTCACGGACACCATGCTCAAGACCAGTGGCGGCCCTGGCGGCCCAGGGCTAGGGACCCCAAACCCTAAAACAGCCCTAAGCCCCCAAGCCCCTAAACCCGGTTTAGGGTTTAGGGTTTAGGGTTTAGGGTTTAGGGTTGAGGGCTAGCGACCCTAAACTCTAAAAAGGCCCTAAGCCCCTTCAGGGTTTAGGGTTTAGGGCTAGGGGCCCTAAACCCCAAACAAACCCTCAGCCCCTGAACCCGGTTTAGGGTTTAGGGCTAAGGGCCTTAACTCTAAAAACACCCTAAGGCCCTAAACCCGGTTTAGGGTTTAGGGGGTATAGGGATTTAGGGTTTCAGGATTTGTGAGTTTTGGGGTTTAGGGTTTTTTGGTTTTTAGGCTGGCTGCAAGACACCTAAAACATTTGAGTTTGGATTTAATGTTTAGGGGTTTCACCTGGCAGTGTTCAAAGAGGCCTGGATGCAAAAAGAGGGTTTAGGGTTTAGGGTTTAGGGTTGAGGGTTGAGGGTTGAGGGTTTAAGCGGTCAGTCTTAAGGGGTTCCCAGGTTGCCAGGTTATTCCTCAATTCTTTCTGTTGAGCTTCTCATGTGGTGCCGTCGTCTCCGAGCACATGAGTAGCTGGGGTCCCCCGTAGCCTGCTTTACAAAGGGTTTAGGGCTACCTGAAACCCTGAAGTAGTGTTTCAGGTTCAGGTCTGTCAAAGGCTTTATCTGGTTAGGATTCTGGAGGTTGTGGGGAGGCATTGGGGTCTCTGGATGGTTCCGACCAGATGACGCATGAGGCAAGGCTTATGTCAAATAATAGGTTCCTTTTTTGATAATGGTGAGTGCATTTAATTGGTGTCCTATTGGGGATACAAGGAGTATATAGGGTTTAGGGTTTAGGGTTTAGGGTTATATACCTATTATACCCTACTTCACGCCTCAACGCTCAGGTGACTTGCCCTCGCTGCCCTGCCCTCGGCAACCGGCATTGGTGCAATCTTGCTTGCGTGGTTAGCAACACGAACTACTGCTTAAGAACCCCAAAAGAATCAGAAATAATCATCCCTATTACCCTTAATGAGGAAGAATGTTTTTTCACATTTTCGGGGTTCTTAAGCAATTAGTAGAAAGGAGAACAACGAGCCCGAGTATTTTTCAATCTTTCCGGGGTCGGTGCGGATCCGCGAGCCGGTGGGTGTTTCGGGCTTATAGGGTTGCTGAGCCCTCAACCCTCAACCCTAAAACCCAAAAACCCCAAAACCCTAAAACCTGAAGCCCTAAAACCCTAAAACCCTAAAACCTAACCCCTAAACTACCCCTAAGCCCGAATTCGACGTTCTCCTCAGGTACAAAGCTGCAGATGCCTTCGTGCTGCTGGCACCCCAGCCTCGAGGGTCGGATCTCTGACGCCAAAAGACGCCGAGCCTACAACCTGCAAGCCCCAAATCCTGTGTAGCGTTTAGGGGTTAGGGCTTAGGGTTTAGGGCTTAGGCTTTGGGGTTTAAGCCCCAAATCCTGTGTAGCGTTTAGGGGTTTAGTGCTTCGGGCTTGGGGTTGAGGGTGCGGGAATTCGGTACCTTCTATCCCCCTACGTATGCCCGTTAAGGGGTTCTGTAGGGTTCCCTAACCCTAAACCCTAAACCCTAAACCCCTAACCCCTAAACCCTAAACCCTAAACCCTAAACCCTAAACCCTAAACCCTAAACCCCCAGACCTTCATTGCCTACTAAGAGCCAGTAAGACGAGGCCAAGCCATGGTGAAGGCTGGGGTCTTCCGCTCATCGAGGCCTCCCGCAAGTCACTGGGGGCACTGCGTGCTTCGGGGTTCAAAAAGGGGCTCGCGGTTCGCGATTGGAGGTAACCTAAACCCTAAACCTAAACCCTAAACCCTACACCCTACACCCTAAACCCTAAACCCTAAACCCTACACCCTACACCCTAAACCCTAAACCCTAAACCCTAAAACACTGATGTAGTAGTGCTCCCCAGTCTGCCCAGTAGTAGTCGGGCTGTGTTTCCTGATAAAGTAGGGTTTAGGGCTTAGGGTTTAGGGTTTAGGGTTGAGGGGTACCTTGGGATGTCCCTCCTTTTTCTAACAGTCCTTCATAGGGGTCCTATTAAGGACGGGTAGTATAAGAGGGATCATGTCCAGGGGTACCCCTCTCGGCGGTAGAGGTTCAGGGTTTAGGGTTTCGGGTTTAGGGTTGAGGGTTTAGGGTTAGGGTTTAGGGTTAGGGTTTAGGGTTTGGGGTTTGGGGTTTAGGGTTTCGGTTTTCGGGTTTAGGGTTTAGGGGGCACCCCCTATCTTGAAATACCCAGTTGGCGAGAAGCTGCTCAACTGCAATCGCTTAGAGCCCACATCCCGGCAGGAGTTTCGGACCCTAAGCCCTAAGCCCTAAGCCCTAAACCCCAAACCCTGCCTTTTGGGATATTTACGAAAATAGGCCCTAAGATAGACCCCCCCAAATAGTAGGATTCCCTTATGAGAAGGAGCCCCAATAAGGTACCCCCTACTTTCGGAAAGCCCCGTATGTACATTTTCTTTCTTTGGGTTTGTAGGTGACCCCATCTACTGTCATTCAGACAGGTTTACAGGTGGCTCTCCGGACAAGGCGTTTGGGCCAACCCAGCGTTTGTTTAACCACTGAAGCGACAGGCTATGGCTTCTGGCTTGCCGACCATCGGAACAGCCTGGGGACCCCTGGATGCAGCAAAGGTTTTTGGGGACGGACGGCCCCGTAAACGCCAAAACGCAGAACCCCTGGACGTGAGCAAAAGCCGCTTAAACCCCCAATCCCCCAAAGCTCCCAATTCACCTTTTCGCAACAGGTTTCATGCCACCCTGAACCCGAAAACCCTCAACCCTACACCGCCAGCCCGGCATGGCCTACTTGGAAGCCTTGTTGACGTACATAGTAATAGTAAGTGGGGTTAGTATGATGTTCCATGGGGATTATTATAGAGTTTCTAGGGGATACTAGGTAGACCTACTAACCCTAAATCCTAAACCCTAAAGGGCTTTCAAGTATGACTAGGAGTCCCCAGTGTGGTGACATTCGGGGTTGGGCGAGTGGTATGTAGGACCTGGGGATCTTCATCTTCGGTATTTCCTTGTCTCGGGTTGAGAGGACCTCATGCAAGATATTTTTCGAAGGGGTTCCAAGGGTCAGCCGAGAATTGAGGAATCAAGCGAGGGTTTTTGTGGCTAGTCGTCTCGGGCGGCAGATGCGTGCTAACGTGTTTAGTACGTTCGGTTATCGACCCCATGCAAACCCAAGCGCCCCCCCCCCCCCCCCCCATTCTACCTGAAATCACACGAAGGAGCCCTGTATAGTTTCAGGCATATTCCTCCAGCAAAGGGTTTTGGGCTCTTTGGGGACATGATGTCGGGAACGACACGGTTGTCATGTCAGCTTCACAGTGCCATTGAGTACAGATGATGGGTTGCAGGGCCCACACAGATTGCATTATTGTCATCAGCACCATCACTTGTTGTCATTACAAGTACCATTTTTTGGGCATTATTAAGTATTAAGTACAGACGAAACAAGTGTAGACGAAGAAGAGCGCGTAGCGGCTTCGCGTTTTGTTCAAGCCGACGCCACCCGAAACCCTAACCCCTAAACCCGACTCCTGCACCTCCTGAACCATCAACCTCCCCTCGGGCCTCAATGCGTAGCCTCCTCAATGCCACGAGCCCGAAATTGAAGCCGCAGTCTGGGCCACCCCTCTCCCCCCCCCCTCTCTCCCCCTTCGCCCAGGTGGGCAAGCGGACTTCATGAACGACCAGAACTCCTGGCCCATAGGCAACCTCCAGCCCCAAACCATAAACTCTTCGAATTGGGGAACCTCATATAGCGTTTATAGAACCTGAAAACCCCAGGGAACATACATCACAAACCCTCAAAGAAGGTAAGGCACCATATTAAGGGAACATGCAACTTCAATACTTCCACATAAAGGGACCATGCAGCTTCCTTTCGGTAAACCGGACTCGCACCTCCTGTGGCTTACGTCGGGCTTGAAAAAGTTGCCCACTTCCCTAGTTTTGGTGTAGTTTCCAAGGGTAGTTATACGGGCCCCTGATATGGCCCCTTACCTTCTTTCAAGGGTTCTGAGTATTGGGTCTTAGAGGGTATACAAGTGGTTCTTGGAGGTTCATGGTACTTGTTAACCAATTTATAACTGTACTTGTATTTGCACTTCTAGCCATATTAGGGCACTTAAGGGGCTTATAAGTACAGTTATATGTACAGTTATAATTGATTAGTAAGTACCATGAACCTCCAAGTATATAAGGAGTCCCTTCTTTAAGGGCCCATACTAAGGGACCATGTAAAAGATCGTTGCGCTCTCTCTCTCTCTCTCTCGCTCTCTCTCGCTCTCTCTCCGCCACGTCCTGCACACACACACGAATAACCTTAAACACTAGGTCCACAACCCAGAACCCTCTATACCTTTGACCCTAATTATGTATCCCATACCTGTAGCTATGCCCAGCCAGTGCCTTCTGATGCGTAGGGAGGCGTAGAAGCTGCTATCACTCGATCCTGTGGGGTACCCTCAACCCGAAACTCTGCTCAACCCTAAGCTTCCACTGGGCAGTACTGCGCCTCAAGCGTGGTTGGGCATCTCCGGAGGGCTGCGCCATGTTGCTCCAGCTTGCCTTGCTTTACCTGGTGAGTGCTTCCAAGACCAGCCCCCAGTCCCTGAGCCTCCTCGCAACCAGGCACATCCTAAACAGGAGCTTGGAACATCTCGGGATCTGGGAAAGGGGTGAGACGACCTGCCCAAAAGAGAATGGAGTGGACTGCTGCCGCGACCTGATTGGAGACACCTGCCCCTGCCCGGCGAGCACATCCCAGGAGCTCAACTGCGTCGTTGGCTATGATGAAATCTCCTGGGCGCCTGTTTACTCCTGTGAGTGCAGAAGTGTGCAGTCAGAGGCAGCGTGCCTGACACCAGGTGCCGCTTACTACGCTTATTTCTGCCCCACGAAGGCCGATGCAACTTGGTCTACAACAACCTCGACCACGACGACTCCCTTCAGCTGCACTTTGGGCCTGGATGAAGAGTGCAGCTGCTCCACCGGCAGTCAGTGCTACATGATCTTCGAGTATGGTGATAAGTACTGCCCGTCATACGGTTGCAGATACTGCGGCTGCGGCTCCGGGCACAATGCGGAGACCTGCGCAGCTTCCGGCGGGACTTGGTGCAACGCCACCACCACCTCCACCACCACCACTACCACCACTACCACCACCACCACCCCCACCACCACGACTACGACCACCAGCCCTCTACGCGGAGATGGCCGGATCTTTACTCGCTTTGGCTCCGCCTGCCGTGGCGTCAACTACCAAGACAACAATCCGAAGTATTTTGAGGTACTGCAGGGCGTGGAGTCAGTCGAGGAGTGCCGCGCGAGCTGTTTGCAAAGACTCCCTCGATGCAACGGAATCGAGTACAGCCCAGGGCGATGTGAAATTTGGATTCGTCCTGAAGGCATTTGCAGCCAAGCCTATGCTAAAAACACAAGATGTGAGCGTTTCGGGTGGCCAGTCGCACAGATGAAAGACCTTGGCGACAACCAGCAGTGCCGGGGAGACGACGAAGATGATTTCAGCGATGACTATGTCACACACCATCACACGTGGGGGCCGGAGGATTGCCGAGGTCGGTGTGCGGCAGCTGAGGTGTGTTTTGGCATTCAGTTCGAAAGTTTCAGCGGAATGAACCGCTGCGACATTTGGAAGCGCCCAGTACGGGCGACAAAGCCGATGTCCGGGTGGAAGTGCTTCAGCTTCGGAGAAGCGGCTGCCTGGGAGACAGTAACCACCGCTTCAGGCTCGACGGGCGCCTGCCGTGGCCTCACGCCTTCTGATACTTAGCAGCTGAATGAATACACTCTATATACCACTTGTTGGGATACTTGAATCCCTGTAGAACTGAAAGTGTACACTTCTTGGGGCTTCTGAACTCAGCAACTAAGGATAACTCTCCTGCACACTATGAGGTTCTTCGGGGCCATGATGTCCGAACCCTGCAGGACTGCCACCAGCTCTGCTTGGCAAGACTGCCTCGCTGCAACGGCGTGGAGTTTAGTTTGGGGAGGTGTGAGATCCTTGGTAGAGCAGTGGTACCCTTTTCCCTTTTTTGGGGTTCAAAGTTCCGTTACAAAGCAACCTACCCCAAAAAAGGGTGCCCTTATTGTATATATGTTTACTGGGCTACCAAGGATCTGGACCCGTCGGCATGGTCTGTACAATGTGGCCGAGATGCCCGGCTTTGCGTGCCAGCGCTACGGCTGGCCAGCGCACGCGCTGCAGCTGCAGGACGGCGCCTGCAGAGGTGACCATCAGACCGACAGCTCGCCGAGCTACTACGAGGTCCACGAAGCCACGAGGGGGATCGAGGACTGCCGCGCACGGTGCGCTGCGGCCCTCGTGTGCTTCGGGGTGGAATTCGCCCCTGCGGGCGGCCGCTGTGAGGTTTGGCGCCGGCCCATCCGCGCCACAGCCGCGGTCCCCGGCCATGAATGCTGGACCTGGCCCTGATGAAGCCGATGTGCCGCGCTCTGTGGCGCAGAAGGCCTTGCAATAATTTGCTGTAGGATTATTTGTACAGTGGAACCCCGTCGCAGTGTGACAGGGCATGCAGGCAACACGATGGCTTGGCCCTGGAAGGCACTGCTCGGAACGATTGCGGAGCGATTTGGGCCGTCATGAAACAGCTACAGCTTCCTTGGCAGATGCACAAGCTCACTGCCAGACTGGACATCATTGCCCACTGTTCAAAGACACGGCGGGCTTCCAGGTGCCGTAGTCGCGGTGGTTCCCCAGGTGGCTTTAGCTTCTTTGTGCATTCAGGATCCCCTCTGCTCTGATCTTCCAAAGCAGCCTTGCCCCAAGCACAACTTAGGCCCTTAGGCTCATTTTTAAGGTCCTACTTAGTTTGGAAGGGGTTAACTTTTGGGGAGGGGAGAGCCATTCGATGCCTCTGCCGACACATGTGAGCGGACATCGGAAACCCTAAACCCTAAGCCCTAAGCCCTAAGCCCTAAACCCTAAACCCTAAACCCTCACAGTACATTACAATTGCCCCACTGGCACTACCAAGCCGAGACGAATTGAAAGCCGGGGGCCCCTAATCCCTGAACCCTGATAGGGTTTCGGGTATAGGGTGTTTAGGGGTTGTAGGGCTCAGGGTTTTTAGGGTTCTGGGGGTCTAGGGTTTAAGTTTAAGGTATGGGGTGCAGGGTTTCTGGGGTTCTTAGGGTCTTCAGATTTTTTGTGTTTTGGGGTCTATAGGGTTTAGAGGTTTGGGAGCCCTGAGCCTCCCCGTGTGCAGACTACGAGCTTGTCGACTCCCCGACACCGCCCATGCGATGGGCGGAGCCCAAAGCAGAGGAGCTTCGGCAGGCCAGGGCCCAAAAGGCCCAAAAAGCCTCTCCTCCCTAAACCCTAAACCCTAAACCCTAAACCCTAAACCCTAAACCCTAAACCCTTCAGGGGTCTAAGGAGGGACCCCCAGAAGGGACCCGAAATCTTATTCCCCCCAAACAAACCGCTACATGCCTAAAAAAACCCTAAGGTCCTTGATAAGAGCTTTAGTCCCTGGATATCCAGGGAGCCCAAGACGTCCTGAGCAACATCACCCTAGACTATACAATCCTGATCATGATTTACAGCATATTCCGTGAATTGGGCCTGCTGAGCATGTACTGTAATTCCGGGGTTTGCGGTTGATGGGTTGGAGGCCTTCCTGTTCATATGTAGATTGAGTCGAGCTGCAAACACCATTCTAAACCTTCACTACCCTCATCCCTCAGGTTTTTCTGGCCCTTGTCGTGGGGGAGTTCGTTTTTTTCTCCAAGAGCCTATGCTCCTTTAATGAAGGATATCGCCTGATTTGCACACCCTAAGTCCTAACCCCCCCCCCCCCCAAAAAAAAAAAAAAAGTTTAGGGTCCACACGAATCCGGATGTCTAGGGCTTAGAGTATTCAGTTCAGAAAAATTCTTTAATCAAGGGGTGTTGGGCACTCTTTGCGGGGCGGGTTCACACAAGTTTCCTCACTTTGAACGTTTCATAGGTCCTGTGTGGCCCCTAAATACACTAGGGGGTAGACTAGCATAGCGACCATACCAGGAACCCTCAACAACACGCACACTCCTAACGGCAGCCAGCCGAGCCCCTAAACCCTAAAGCCTAAACCCTAAACCCCAAACCCCAAACCCTAAACCCTAAACCCGAAACCCTAAACCCCAAACCCTAAACCCTAAACCCCCTGCAGCTTGGAGCCAAGGCCATGCTTGAGGTCGTTGCCGGTGGGCCAGAAGTCGCGAGCCGCACCGCCAAGGCCTGCGAGGAGGCCGGGGAGGTTGAGGGTTGTTGGAGGGGTTTAGGGTTCAGGGTTTAGGGTTTAGGGTTTAGGGGCATCGTCAAGAAGGCGAGGATAGGTGGGTGTCTGGCAGTCAGCAAGTCCAGCTTCAAAAAGGTGCAACAAAAAGGGTTTAGGGGATGTTCTGTCAGGGCTTTCGGAGGGTGTTGCTTGGGGGGATTCAGGGGGTCTGGGCTTAGGGTTTGGTTTTTGTTGGGGGGCTTTGGGGTGTTGAGTTTACCGGGCAAGTTGCACCGCAGTCTCTCCTCAAAAAACAAGGGGGTTTAGGGTTTAGGGTTTGGGGTTTAGGGTTTAGGGTTGGGGGTTGATTCTATGGTGGCGGATACCTATAGTCATGGGGTTCCATGAAAAGAAAGTTCCCCTGTGAAGTGCCAACCCCAAAAAGGGGTACCCCTTATTATTATGTAGTGTTATTGCCGGGCCTACTTATGCCTTTTTGTTAGGGTTTAAGTTCCCTTCTGACTAAGCCTCTGGCTATTCCGGGGTCTAGTTTTATGGTTACTGGGCTACCAAGTCAGAAAGTAGCAGTGAGCCTTCTAATGATGAGTTCCCCGAGAGCCACGTGCCCCTGCCCGCCCCCCCCCCCCCCAATAACCGCACAATTTTTTTGTTCAGCGTTTTGCTGGCCCAAACGCATTCAGCCACCCATTTGTGATGGGGTTTCCCGAAAAGTAGCCTCCAGGCCACAGAGGTTGACCCCAGAAAGAGGGCTGACGAACCCGAACTCTAAACCATGAGGGGCTTTCGGGTGTCCTGCGAACCCCCAGAGTTTAGGGTTGGGGGTTTAGGGTTTAGGGTTTAGGGTTTAGGGAAAACAAAGGGTTCCCCAGGCACCTTCTGAGCTGGTCCGGTGGCAAAACGGGTTCCCATGCCCTAAGCCGGCGAGCCCAAAGCGGCAATGGTTCAGGGTTTAGGGTTTAGGGTTTAGGGTCTTATTTAGGGTTTAGTCCTAGGAACCGTGAATCCTAAACCGTGAGGGCTTAGGGTTTAGGGTCTAGGATTCGCGTTTAGGGCTTAGGGCTTAGGGCTTAGGGTTTAGGCGGTTTAGGGTTAAAGAAAAGGGCTTCCCAAGAAGAGTCTCTAGGAGAAATAGTTCTGCTCATGCCCTGATTATAATGAATTCCCATATAAAGGCTCTTATCGAAACTCGCATGCTCATGGGGCCCGACGCAGCACACTACACCCTAACGCACGAGCACAATTGTTCTACCACAATTAGGGTTTAGGGTTTACGGTTTAGGGTTTCAATTTTAGGGTATCTTGCACGCAGGTGCACTCCCGCTACACCATCGACCTGATTGCTGCTGAAGCGATCGAGCTCCTTGAGCCCTGATCTCTGCGGAGGGGGGTTTAGGGTTTAGGCTTTAGGGGGGTCTAAGGGTAGTTACATGGGCCCTTGATATGGTCCCTTGCCTCCTCTAAAGGGTTCTGAAGTATGGGCCCTTGGGTTGTATAGGGCATAAAAGGGTATATAAGGGGTCCCCTGTTAAGGGCCCATACTAAGTGACCATGTAACTACCCCCAAGAGTAGGTTGGCTTGCGCTCCGATTCGTGGTCGTCAAAGCATGCTCAACCCTGAAGGCTCGCGTAGCCTTGACCGGTTCGAGATCTGAATGCTAGTGTGCATGTGTCCACCTGAGTCCCTGTAAATCCTCAACCCGAAACCAAAAGGGCCCAGAATGTGGATCACTCCTCCAGGCGCCAAGGAACCAAGTCCCAAACAACCATCCCAGGGACCCATATAACCCTCAGCACTAAACCCTGAACCCTACTTGGATGTTCATGGCACTTCCTAACCACTTATAACTGTACTTATAACCCCGCTTATAGTACGCCTAAATGGCCTTATAGGGGTTATCCCTATTATAAGTAGGGTTATACGTACAGTTATACGTGGTTATTAAGTCCCATGAACCTTCAAGTAACCCCTAAACCCTGAAGCTCCAGGTCCTTGGCTGGCGTGCCAGCGGAAGGCGTGCCAGCGGAAGGTCGCCCCAGCATCTGAAGCCCCATGAAGCCGAAACCAGGTTGAGGGTCTAGGGTTTAGGGTTTAGGGTTTCGGGTTTAGGCTTTGGGGTTCAGGGGTCAGTCTTCCGACGTGGAGGTGCATGGGTAAGTACAGGGCATAAGTATAGCCACCACACATGTAGCCCCCGTATAATGTACAAATATAGCTACAAACTCCAAGTAGGGGTCAAAACCCTAGCGAGTGTTGAGGGCGTTGGGCTTTTGGATATATAGCCTGTCTATCAAATATTCAACATTCCCAAGCTTTTATATGTTAAGGAGTATGGGTTTGGCATGTTGAACTCTTCTTGAAGCCTCTTGGATGCTGGGATGCCGAGTGATTGCCAGTTTCTTAGGGGTTAAGGGTATAGGTTTAGGGCGTAGGTTTTCAGGGGTTGTTCGCGACAATTTTTGAAGGGTTGTCTAAGTGTCCCTAGAACCCCCCCCCCCCATAATCCCCACAACTTCCCAGCTTGCTAACCCTACTTTCCCTAAACCCTACAGCCCTAAACCCTAAGCCCTACTAAGGTCAAAAAGGCTTCCAAGTAGGGGATGCAAAAAGGACATTGGTTCGGGCTGGAGCCATTTGGAGCCCAACAAATACGCCGAATCTACCCTAAACCCTAAACCCTAAACCCTAAACCCTAAACCCTAAACTTAGGGTTTAGGGCACCGAAGCCCTCAAAGCCTGCGATCCTGAAGCGCTAAACTCCTAAGGCCCTACGGCACAACATGTTTGCAACCACCCCAGGGTTCCCAAAGCCCTGCGCCAGATTCAGAGCCACGGTTTAGGGTTTAGGGTTCAGGGTTTAGGGTTTAGGGTTTAGGGTTAGTGGTTCAGGCTTGAGGTTTTCGGGTCTAGGGGGGAAGCTAAACCCTAAACCCTAAACCGCTTAGCGCCCCACATCACCTACAGGACGCGGCGCGCTCGGCCACATGTATTTCGGGTTTAGGGTTTAGGGTTTAGGGCTAGGGTTTAGGGCAAGTTTAGGGGCATATGCAAATACAAACATCAGCACCATGAAGGAGTGGCTGGTTCTACCCTCGGTTTTCTCAGTGGCGAACCGTTTTTGTTTTTGGGTTTCTTTCTTTCTCTCCTGTTTCCCTTATATGCCTCTTTTGGGATGTTCACCCTTATACTAGCCGTCCTTAATAGGGATTCTCATACAACCCTAAACCCTAAACCCTACTATAATCCCCATTACGGACGGTTAGTATACGGGGAACATCCCGAGCCTTGTTGCCTCTGGCATCGTCGGGGTTTAGGGTTTAGGGTTTAGGGTTTAGGGTTTAGGGTTTAGGGTTTAGGGTTTAGGGTTGTAAGCAGCGCGCCCTTGTTTGGTTTAAATGTTCTTACATCAGGTCTTGAATCGCGAAAAAAATGAGAATTAGGGCCCAGAGAGAACCCCAACAAAAACCACAGAACGATCTTCTTGTAAGGGCAATATAGGGATCGTTATTCTTCATTTTTTGGGCGGTCTTAACCCCTAAACCCTAAACTTTTTTTTGCGGGGGGGGGGGGGGGAGTTCTTAAGTTATTAAGTTATTTATTAGTTTGTATTTATGTTTGTACTTATATTTATGCATACATATATACGTACACACACGCACATCTCCGCCTACAAATTGCATTGACTGGTATGTTAGGGGCCGTCGGACTTCCAAAGACGATACAAAGGGTGCAAGGAAGGCACAACCTGAGGGCAAAACCCCCCTAAACCCTAAACCCTAAACCCTAAACCCAAACCCTGGCTCCCGCAGCCGCTTAGCCACCATCCGACCTGGCGCGCCCGCAGTGCCGGGAGTTTAGCCTCTGAAGGCCGAACTCCCGCGTGTTTGCCGTTGTTTTGTATGGGGATGTTCCCTTTAGTATTCTGGTAGGGTTCAGGGTTTAGGGTTCAGGGGTCAGGGTTTAGGGTTTAAGGTTTAGGGTTTAGGGTTTAGGATTGGCATGTTCTCCCTTATACTCACAGCCCTTAATGGGGATTATAGTGCCCCCCTATTGCAATCCCTATTAAGGACTGTTAGTATAAGGGGGAACATCCCAAGTATTGTATTCTCAAGGTTGGTTCATTTTGTAGGTACCCTGAAGATTATGTACCCAGAAAGGGGCTCCAATTCGGAGAGCCTGCCGTGTTGTAGTCGTGTTGAGTATAGATTCGGGTTCAAAACCGGGTTTGGGTGAAAGGGGGGTTTGGAGGTGAAGGGCTGCGCCGTTATGTGAGGCTGGGTCCTTAGTGAGTTGTGGTTGTGAACAGGGCATACACCTGAACCTGTACAAAACCAATCCCCGTGATGAGTTACGAGGTGCACACTCCTGCAATTGTGCCCCTTAATCCCTGAGCCCTAAACCCTAAACCCTCAACAACGGTAACCTGCGTTCAGAGGACTCGATTCAGGGTTTTACGCTGACCAGCTTCGGTGGTAAACTGCTACCAGAAGGAACAAGCTACGTCTAAGCCACTAACACTCTAAGCCCTAAACCCTAAACCCTAAGCCCTAAACCCTAAACCCCAAACCCTAAACCTTAAACCCTAAACCCTAAACCAGGCCATGGAGTGCTTCAATGGCCTCTTCAACAAGCGACCCAAGCTGGTTCAGCTGCCAGTGAGCCCGGGCAAGGCGGGCACTTGATTGGAGTTTAGGGCTTATAGGGTTTAGGGTTTTAGGGTATTTGAGGGCTTTGGGGTTTGAAAGGTTTGGGGTTTAGGGCTCAGGGTTTGGGGTTTAGGGTTTGGGTTTTAGGGGTTTAGTTGGGGAATGGGGCTGAGGGTAACTTAAGGTTTAGGAGGGCTTTGCCCTGGTTCAGGGGGTTAGGGTTTAGGGCCCATACCCCCTAAACCCTAAACCCAAAACCCTAAACCCTAAACCCTAAACCCTAAACCCTAAACCCTAAACCCTAAACCCTAAACCCTAAACCCTACTGTACACCCTGTAAGCCCCAAGTCGAGCTCCGGCCAAGTTCAAGACAAAATAGTTAAGCAACAATCGAGAGGATGAAGAGGAGGTTTATGAACAGGGTTTAGGGTTTAGGGTTTAGGGTTTAGGGTTTGGGGTTTGGGGTTAGCCCAGAGGGTTCACTTCTGTGCACTTATGGCACTAGGATGGTCACTTCTGTTCACTTGTGGCACTAGGATGGAAATGGTACCAAAAACGCTAGATCCCGTGTGGGTTGAACTCACGTCAGTTGGCCAAAAACACACAGCACAGCACCCAGATCTGGACGCCGCTTGGAGAAAACTACACATCCTTGGCAGAAGTACACATCAGTAAATGCGAACCCCAATGCGGACGCTGCACATCGGTGTCAATGCATGAGAGGGCTCAAAACACAACACCGCGGACGCTGGTGTTTAGACAGGGTTTTCCACAGTTTTGGAGTGCCTGTAAGTAAGACGCTTGCTTGTTTTATGTTGACTTGTACTCTTGGAAGCCCTGTTGACTTAGTAAGTCTACCTAATATCCCCAAGAAACCCGATAGCAGTCTGCAAATCCCAACTTACCCTGAACTCGAAACCCTATTCCCTGCTTTAGTAAGTCAAAAAAGCTCCCAAGTGGATGTTACTCGAATGCCCAGCCGGCGCACACACCCAAGAGTGGGGGTAGGGTTCAGGGTTCAGGGTTCAGGGTTCAGGGTTCAGGGTTTAGGGTTTAGGGTTTAGGGTTTAGGGTTTAGGGTTTAGGGTTTAGGATTTAGGGTTTAGGGTTTAGGGTTTAGGGCTTCATCGTTGGAGTGCGGCCGGGCCAAGTTGTCCAAACAGAGGCAACGGGTTTAGATTCGATGTGGCTGCCTAAACTGTGATTTCCCAACGTGGACGCCCCCCGATGCGCATTTCTACGCGATGCGAGATAAAGCCACCACTACAGTATTTGGGGCTTTTCGTCCTCATTCCATACCTCCAGGGCAACAATACATAAGCTTGTAAGTACCTTGAACAAGGTTGTAAGCGAAAAATGTAAACCCTCAACCCTAAACCCTGAACCCCAAACCCTAAACCCTAAACCCCAAACCCTAAACCCTAAATCCTAAACCCTAAACCCTAAACCCCACCAGAGTACTAATAGTTGACCCTGTAAGGTTTAGGCTCCAGGTGCCCATCTTCGTCATGCTGCAGCTGGATTGGCTGTCAGACGACGGCCAGGCGCTGCGGTACAAGGACCCCCGAATCCGCAATCAGGAGTTTATGGGTTAGGGTTTAGGGTTTAGGGTTTGGGTTTAGAGTTTAGGGTTTAGGGCTAGGGTTTAGGGGGCCGAACGCTTCCTCAGTCCGTGCTCAGAGAGGGTTTAGGGTCACACCGAACACGAACGGTTCATCATCTCCGGGCGAGGCTGCGCAAGCCTCATGCAAGAAAAGGGTCTTGGTTTTAGGGTCCAGGGCTCTGGGCTCAGTATTTGTCATGGTATTGGGGTTGATGTGCGAGGCCATCAAAAAAACTCGACCTAAGATCTACGTCGCATGGGAGTATACAGGAACTTGAGCCGAAACCTCCACTTCAGTGGCCCACCATAGCCTGAGCCTGGCCAGCTAGACCGTTCGAATATCCAGGGACTCCCCCGAAGCCCTTACTTGAGGAATACTCCTTCACATACAATAGAGTTCCTTATATGGAGTGAGGAGGTATAGTCCTTACTGAAGGAGTAGTGGAGTCCCTGGGTAAAGGTCGTTGATTCTACTGTAGTTGGTTCGGATATTCGAAGGGACCGCTTGGACATCGTAACGCTTCAGCCCAGAGAGCCCAGTACTTTAGGGTTTAGGGTTTAGGGTTTAGGGATACACTAGGCGCGCCATTTTGGTTGGCCATCTTAAGGGGGCTCCACATCATGAATCTATCTTCAACTTTCGGAGCGATCTGGTCTTTAGCTAGGGGGTATTTGGCCCCGGACCCTAAACCCTACACCCCAAACCCCAAACCCCAAACCCAAACCCTAAAAACTTTCCCTAAACCCTAAACCCCTGGACCCTACACCCTATCAACAACTCCTCAACCCCATGGTTCGGTTGCTATGTTGCCATCTTCCTTGGTCATGTGTCTTTATAAGTAGGGTTGCAAGTGCCCTTGGCAGGGGTTTAAAAAAGCTACCATGCATAAAACCCTACTGACGGTTCATGGTACTTCCTAACCACTTATAACTCTGCTTATAACCCCACTGATAATACCCCTAAAGGGCCTTATAGGGGTTATCCCAATTATAAGTAGGGTTAAAAGTACAGTTATAATTGGTTAGTAAGTACCATGAACCTTCAAGTACGGGTATCTTGATGACGTTAAAACGCAGGAGGATCTGCGCCGCCAACTCACAGCTGCCAAAACTGCTGGCATCAAGGGCGTCATGGTCGTGGCCCCAAGAGGACTTCAGACTAAGACTAAGACATAGGTTACGTTACTAGATCTTCGATGTCGAAGGCTTGAAATATACAAACATATACAACAATAAATATGTATACATATATATGTGTGTATATATGTATTTAGTTATGTATCAGATGAAGGTATACGCGCACAGAGACATACATAGTGTATATACAAATCTGTTTACATCTGTATACATGTACATGTACACGTACACGTGCACGTACACGGACCCGTACACACACACACACAGAGATGTCTATATATATATATATATATATATATCTCTCTCTCTCTCTCTCTCTCTCTCTCTGTGTTTGTGTGAATGCATATAGTGGCGTGTAATTCTTTTGGCTTTCTTATATATCTGCATGTGTTTGCTATATATTCCTAGTGTATACATATATATATATATATACATTTATTCATTCATGACAGCCTCCGGATGCGTCTCTCATCCACGATATATATGTATATATATATATATAATATACATACATACATACACATATACAGATTCGAATTCGATGTGTAATATCGTCAGCATCTTCGAGGCTGCGCAGGGTGTCTTAGGGTTTTCCCGTTGAGTCGGCTTGCCGTGGATGGAGGAGCAAGATGGTTCGGCTCATGGGGAATTGTTAGTAGGGTTTAGGGTTTAGGGTTTAGGGTTCAGGGTTCAGGGTTTCGGGTTTAGGGTTTAGGGTTTGGGGGTGAGACTTTGATCAAGAAGGTTAGCAGCAGGGTGACCTGATGGTCTTCAAACAGGAAATACCGAAGCCCAAAGTATTGTCCTGTATTGTGGGAGGCTTCGGCGAGCGCGGCGCTCAGCCTATGCAGGCACTGCGTACTACATACCCTGCCAGTTGGCGACCCCGGAAACTAAACCCATACCCACCCCTTTCATGCGAGATGATGACACCAGTAACGAACTATGTGCCGACCTCGATGGCGAGCCTGCAAAGCAGGCCTGCTGCCGTGGGACCCTAAAACCCCAAACATCTCCCTAAACCCTATTCTCCGCAGAACCTTCAGTCCATGTTGGGGGCCCATCGTAAGGTTCGGAGGGCTTGGTGTGACCTATGAATGAAGCCCCGAATCCGAAAAAAAACAACCCTTGTGCACAAGCCGTGACTGAACCGTCAGAAAGCCCAAACACTAAGACTAAGCCCTAACCCGCTGCGAGCTTAGGCCGACGTTTGGTGGGGGCTTTGTCACCTGCCAGCAGGAAATGGTTTCTACCCACAAAGCCCCGTACTCCATTCCGGAGTATGCCTTGGTTCCTCCTAAGACTCCTAGGCTACTATTTGCTTGAGACACCCCCAAAAAAACATACAAATAAAGGAAAACAATCCCTTCATTGCCCTTACAAGGAAGAGTATTCTAATTTTTCGGCAGCAGCTTTGGCCACCCGGAGCCCGCAGCCAATTCCTACTTGGAGGTTCATGGGTTTTAGGTAGGGTGTAAAGTACCTAAAGTACCCAAAGAGCCCAATACCCCTTAGGTAAGGAAGTCATACGTAAGGATCCCTGCATAGTTTAGGGTATACTCTTTAAAATTTGGGGGGGGGGGGGGGGGGGGCTCCTTGGGTAGGGTGATAACCCTAAACCCTAAACCCTAAGAACCCAGAACCGGTACTGCCGCAAAGGAGGCAAGGGAGTGCGCAACATCGGGTTAGAAATAGTACAACTTAGGTGATGAAGTCTCTTCAAGCCCTAAACCCTCAGCATACTGTATACTGTAGCAGAGGGGGGAACCCTAACACCCTACATCTCTCCTTTGCAGGGTTGTAGTATCGGGCCTGGCTGCCATGGGGTTTAGTGCACTGGGAGTAGTACCCGTGTTCCCTGATTATTGGGGGGAAGCACCTGACCTTCAGGTCGGAAACCCCGAGTTTCCTTTGCATGCCGATGTTCGCTCTTGGGGTTTAGGTTTTTTGTGCTTTCGTGTCCGGGTATATCCTTGCAAGCCAGGGTTGTGCAGTCCTGCAAGTAGGACGCCAGGTGCCCTAAACCCTAAACCCCTTTTGTCTGTGGGTTTTTGGGTTCACGGTTTAGGGCTTTGGGTGGTTCGGATGGCAGGGTTGAGTTGTGGTTTTGGCTGCCCTAAATCCTGAACCCTAAACCCTATACCCTAAACCCTAAAACCTAAACCCTAAACCCATATACCAAGGTGAGCCCAAGCCAGAGGACGGCGACCGTGCGGATTTGGTGCTTCGTGTGTGTTTAGAGTTGAACCCAGAGACTTCCGCAGAACATCGGACTTCATTTTGTGTGAGACTGCCTCGCTCTGCGTATGTACCTCTCGAGAACCACCCTGGCAGAACGCAAAGTTCTCCTGGGCAGATTCCATCAAGCCACCCAGCACACGCAGCTCCCTTCTCTTGCAGGGTCCTTAAGAGTGGGGTTCATGGGGGGTAGGTACCTAGGGAACCTTAGGGAAGTTTAGAGAGCCTTAGAGAGTAGTGGGTTAGGTTACATACCACCTCCCTTGAACCCTCCCTCCCTTAAGAACCCTAGAATTCTCAGCACACTCAGTTCCCTTGAAGTCGGCATTTTGCCCTAAACCCAGTGCCCAAGACATTCGAGTCGAAGCACAAATTCCGAAACCATAAGCCTAGCCTACGGTTAGCCCTACCAGCACAAAAAAGTCATTTCTTTGGGTTCTTATAGGGAGGTAGTGGCGGAAGCCACGATTTGTCAGCCATGTTGGAGTGAAGTCGTGAGCCCGAAGCACGTCAGTGCGCAGTGTTCAGGAGAGTCGAACACTGACATGTGGGTGTTCCTTGTTGCTGTAAAAGAACCCCCAAAACGGTACCCAACAGTTTGAGAAACCGCCATAAGTCACCTGGATTCTTTCGTCCGCCGCGGCCCAAAAGCCATCTCTGCAGGGCTGTTTTAGTGGGACCGTGGCGACTCCGATGGCGAGCAGGTTGCAAGGCTGGTACCAGGCGTTTCGCGACGTCGCGGCAGCTTGCTGTGACACTGCTTCCTCGAAGCACGCGCAGCTGGGATTTGATGCAGTACTTTAGGGTTTAGGGTTTAGGGGTACGGTTTAGGGTTATCTCTTTTTGAGCTCCAGCTTACCCAGTTGTTAAGAAATCGAACCCCCCAGATCCACCTCAGGAAGATCCACGACTTCATCGTGGTTGAGGTCCCCGCATGTGGTGAGTCTTGGTAGCCCAGCGGTGCCTCTTTTGCCCTATTTTGGGGGCCAAGGTCCCCTATTAAGTATTCAACCCCCAAAAAGGGTGCCCTTTTATTTGGGATGTTCCCCCTTGTACTGGCAGTCCTTGGTTTGGGAGTATAATAGGGGTCACCACAGACCCTATTAAGGACTGTTAGTATTAGGGGGGGGACATCCTAAACCCTAAGCCTTAAACCCTAAACCCTAAACCCTAAACCCTAAACCCTAAACCCTAAACCCTAACCCTGTGCTTACTGGGCTACCAAGGACTCGAAGGTGGAAGCGCCTCATTCGCCGCAGACCACAAAGAGACGCGACCGTGGAGAATGGGCCCCTTGGTGGTTTAGGGTTTAGGGTTTAGGGTTTAGGGTTTAGGGTTTAGGGTTTAGGGTTTAGGGTTTAGTTTAGGGCTTAGGGTTTATTTAGGGTCTTGTTCTTCTCGTTCTTGCCCAATGAGGCGCTTCCACCTTCGAGTTGGTAGACCAGTAACCACAGGGTTAGGGTTTAGGGTTTAGGGTTTAGGGTTTAGGGTTTAGGGTTTATTTAGGGTCTCGTTCTTCTCGTTCTTGCCCCTCCCTCTTTTGTTGCTTCAAAGTTCCCTTGTGCAGCCACCAACCCCCAAAAGGGGACAGCCTACACCCCCACACCCTAAACCCTAAACAGAAACCCATTGCTATGTGGCTACTGGGCAAGGCGCACTACAACCCGGACCTGGACGATTACGACATGAAGGTTCCGAAATTCGGGTTTAGGGTTGAGGGTTTAGGTTTAGGGTGAGCGCCTACCATCTGGGGGGGGGGGGGCGCTATGATAGGGGTCCCCTTTTTTCGCAAGCCCTAAACCCTAAACCCTACACCCTCCCACATGAAGGCCGCCACACGCCCACCTCACGGCGAGGAGGAGGACATCGCAGACCAGCAGGCGACTCCTGGAGGGCTGTTGTGGGGCTTGTCGGGGTTTAGGGTTTAGGGTTTAGGGTTTAGGGTTTAGGGTTTAGGGTTTAGGGTTTAGGGTTTAGGGTTTAGGGTTTAGTCTTGGTTGTTAACTATTTTGAGAGGAACCCCGGGCCCTGAACCTCCTGGGCCCTAAATACCTAAACTTCCCACGGAGAAACCTCAATTGCCGAACCCAAACCCTACTTTTTTGGGAAGAATCATATACGGGGCTTATAGAATTGTTATATTACCAACCTACCCAAACGAAGAGTTTTTCGGGTTCTTACTTTAACGGACGAAGATTTGAGACCGGAATGGAAGGCACGCCATTCAGGAAGACAGAAAGGAGGAGAGCCCTAAAAGCCCTGCCGGCCCCATCCCTAAACCCTCTCTAAGCCCTAAGCCCCGAGCCCTACACCCCCGGGCCGAAAGTTTCGACCCACGGCACATGTTGGATGGCATGCAGACAGTGAAGGCTCCCGCGGAGTAGCGGAGTGCCGAAAAGTAGCGCTTTCCCTACGCCTGCTAGCGGAGAAATTAATACCCCGTTTTGAAAATATAGTACTATAGTAGCTCCGGAGGAGGCCCCCAGCCCCATTGTGTCAGGAGTCTATGGGGAAGAGGGCGGGGTATGGGTGTAAGAACCCCAAGATGTTGGTGGGTCGAACTATCGGCCCGGCGCAGCATGCGTTTTGGTGGCCAGAGTTTGCTTCAAAAAGATCCCACCTTTTTGAAGTTTGGGCAAGACCAGTGCTCCCCGAACGCATGCTGCGCCAGGCCGAAAGTTCGTCGCACTCACAACATAAGACAAGAAGACAGAAAACCCCCTCTCCCCCTTAGACTCCTGCACTCCAAGAGTGCCGGGTCCTCCTCCGGAACATTAAAAATAGTACAAGTTTATTCCAGGGGATTAATTCCTCCGCTGGCCAGGCTAGAACAAAACCATGATGCAATACTCCGCTGTCCTCCGTCAACTTTGTCGAGTCTTGTCAAGAGCGACGAAACTTTATTCCTGGTCATGCTCCTCACAAGGCCGTTTCCACTAAAAAATCTAGCGTCCAGGACCTGGCCGGCGTCAGCATCGCGCAGAGCATGCGTTTTTGTGGCTAGAGTCTGCTTCAAAAAGTGCTTCCGGAAGGCAGCATGCGTTTTGGTCGCCAGAGTCTGCTTCAAAAGTGCTTACGGACAGCAGCATGCGTTTTGGTGGCCAGAGTCTGCTTCAAAAAGTGCTTACGGAAGGCAGCATGCGTTTTGGTGGCATTTGCTTCAAAAAGGTCCCACCTTTTTGAAGTTTGGGCAAGACCAGTGCTCCCCGAACGCATGCTGCGCCAGGCCGAAAGTTCGTCGCACTCACAACATAAGACAAGAAGACAGCAGAAAACCCCCTCTCCCCCTTAGACTCCTGCACTCCAAGAGCGCCGGGTCCTCCTCCGGAACATTAAAAATAGTATAAGTTTATTCCAGGGGATTAATTCCTCCGCTGGCCAGGATAGAACAAAACCATGATGCAATACTCCGCTGTCCTCCGTCAACTTTGTCGAGTCTTGTCAAGAGCGACGAAACTTTATTCCTGGTCATGCTCCTCACAAGGCCGTTTCCACTAAAAAATCTAGCGTCCAGGACCTGGCCGGCGTCAGCATCGCGCAGAGCATGCGTTTTTGTGGCTAGAGTCTGCTTCAAAAAGTGCTTCCGGAAGGCAGCATGCGTTTTGGTCGCCAGAGTCTGCTTCAAAAGTGCTTACGGACAGCAGCATGCGTTTTGGTGGCCAGAGTCTGCTTCAAAAAGTGCTTACGGAAGGCACCCCCGGGCCGAAAGTTTCGACCCACGGCACATGTTGGATGGCATGCAGACAGTGAAGGCTCCCGCGGAGTAGCGGAGTGCCGAAAAGTAGCGCTTTCCCTACGCCTGCTAGCGGAGAAATCAATACCCCGTTTTGAAAATATAGTACTATAGTAGCTCCGGAGGAGGCCCCCAGCCCCATTGTGTCAGGAGTCTATGGGGAAGAGGGCGGGGTATGGGTGTAAGAACCCCAAGATGTTGGTGGGTCGAACTATCGGCCCGGCGCAGTAAGCCCCGAAGCCCAACCCTATATCTGACTCACGTCTTGCTTTAAACCCTTCTTGTGGCCAGCTTCATGGCTGGCTAAACCCCGACGCGAAACAAAAGAAGCTCTCACCGACGAGCAAAACACAGCCTGAGGGTCTTAGGGCTTGGGGGGGTTTAGGGTTGAGGGTTTAGGGTTTAGGGTGTACCCAACATAGGGGCGCAAACAGGCCCCAACGACCTCGCAGGTGGTGAGCCAGATCCTTCACCTCGCAGGGCGCATCGCGGCAGGTGGACCGCAAGAGGTCATTTACCACTACGCCACTCGGATTTAGCTTCAGAAACCTGTAAAAGAAGAGGGTTTAGGGTTTAGGGTTTAGGGTTTAGGGGTAGTCCTGATATTTGGAGCTGGCGACCTTGTTTTGTTTTGACTGTTTTTTTTGTCAAGGCTTTTGGGGGCTCCGCAAGTGTGTAGCCCAGTGGTGCCCTTACCCTCTTTTTGGGTCTGGGTTCAGGGTTCCCTTCTTACATAACCAACCCCAAAAAAAGGGTGCCCTGACTATAATATGGTTACCGGGCTACGAAGTACGCAAATCCCAGGAGAAGGTCATCAAGGAGATGGAGGCCAGCCTTTCAAGTTCTGCACGGGTGCTGCTGCGTCAGCAGACGCGCCAGGGCGGCCATAGCGATGTAAGCCAGGACACCTTCTGCAAGGACCCTGTGGGTCGCCGACTTTCGCTACCTGGTAGCCCAGTGGTACCCTTTTCCCTTTTTTTGGGGTTCAAGGTTCCCTTATAAAGTGTACCCTAAACCCTAAATCCTAAACCCAAAAAAGGGCGCCCTTATTGTAGTATGTTTACTGGGCTACCAAGGCTAGGGACTGCCTCCACTGGCGTGGACGAGGATGACTGGCAGAGCATTGAGACCTCCGTCGAGGCTAGGTGGGACTTCACTACAACTTTATCACTTTATAAGTTTAGGGCTCTAAACCCTGAATCCCTAACAGCCCTAAACCCTAAACACTAAACCCTTTAAGGGAGCTAAAAGTTAAACTTTTTTTTGGGGGGGGAGGTTTAAGAGCAGCCAAGGAGGAAGAGGACTGGCTGCTCCTGAGCGTGGCGGTGTGAGGCTGCCCTAGGACCCAGAGCAGGCCCTTCTTTCCCTAAGTCTAGGGTTTAGGCCCTTCTAGGTTCCCTTATAAGCCCCCGTTAAGCCCAGAAAGGGTAAGGGCCCCCCTAGTTTGAGGTTCCCTCAGAAGCCCCTTTTAAAGCCAAGCAGGGAAACTAAGGGCGCCCTGCTATCCCGAGGTGACTCCTGGGTCTAGTGCCAAACCAGGCTTGTTTTCCAGGTGCCTGATAGGGCTGGGCTGTTGCCCAGCCTTTCCGGGCAGGTACCTGTTCCGTCGCCATCCAGAAGATCGAAGTCCGTAAACCTCAGCCCGAAACACTGTAAAGGCCCTTGCCCTAAGCCTTGGCCCAAACATGATATGTATGTATATGTATATATATATATGTATGTATGTATATATATATATATATGTATGTTTCATTCTTCATTTCTTCATTTTTGATGATTTGCATAGGTATACACACTCTACAATTACAAATGGGCAGATGGGTAATATAGATATATGCAACGTTTTCTTATCTTAGTAGAATAGATGATATATACATGTAGAGAACATGTAGCACAATGAGACGCAACATATTTCATATTGTACCGCAACATGGATGACGGTTTTGAGAATACGTATTCAGAATTCAGTGTATTTGTATAAGCATACCTTAGACAATCACATTGCTTGATTATGTGTATGTTATACTGCACATGTATACATGTATACATATATGTTCACAATAATCGTATATGTAATATGTACTATATGATACGTATTTAGTATTTTTGTGCTTTGGCAAACAGTTCATGTCTAGATTACAAGGAATAAACAGTTATCTAAGCTACGAATACATTCATCATAACATAATTTAGGCAACCAATGAGCTTAAATGCACGACGGCATGCTTCTACTAACCGATCTTCAACCTGCTAGTCTAATCTACAGACCTATTAATCTACAGACCTTACCCCTACGCCTACGCAGAAGAGCACCTGAGCAAAGAAGGTACTTCTCGCGATATGTACTTATATGTTTATAATTTTTTCTTAAATATGTATTTATATATCCAACCACAAATTCGGGACGTCATCTAGTGGTGATGAGATCAGGTAGTTTGGACAGGGCACAATGCCCAAGGCAAGGTGAATTCGTTCATGCAGAAGAGCAGGCGCACGAAGTGCCGCCTGCTGTGCACTACGTCACTACGTTCAGACTATTGTTGGGATGATGTACGTAGACACGATAAGGACCCAGGTGAAGATTTTAGAGTTTCGGGCTTAAGACCTGTAATATGGTGTTCGTCTATGCCTTATATTGGGTGGTGGTGTCTTTAGGTAGGGTTTCTGTTTTGTAGGGGGTTCTTATTCGTATCTAGGGGCTATGCGAAGATATAAGGGTAACTGATAAGAGGCCAATGGCCTTTCTAATCCATGCCTTAAGAGGCGCAAACACAAATTGTGTTGAAACGCAACCTGCGGACCTGCAGACATGCAGTCCATTTGGAGTTTTCGGAAAAATGAGGAGTGCCCTTCTTTGGGGGGTTCCTACAAGAATGAGTATACTTATCACGGGGCGTTTCGGGAAGTGCCGTTTAGGGCTTAGGGTTTAGGGCTTAGGCCGGTGATCGAAGTTGTGTGGGGCCTTGTCTTACCGGAAAATCAACCCTCAGAGGCCCGGAAGCGCCCACCCCCCCTGCCCCCTGCAGTTTGTATACTTAGTACATAGAGTTTGTATAGTTTACATAGTTTATATAGTATATATAGTATACATAGTATATATAGTATACATAGTATATATAGTATATATAGTATATGTAGTATACATAGTATATATAGTATACAGAAGAGAAGTTCCATGGTCCCTTGCCTTCTGGTTTAGGGTTTAGAGTTTCATTGAAGCATTGGCCCTTGGGTTTCATCGGGTGTGTAAGGATGTGAAAGGAGTCCTCTTTCGAGGGCCCATGTCAAGGGACCATGTAACTACCCTGAGAATCCAAGCTTTAGGGTGTAGACCGCACTTGGCGGTTCATGTATAGTTATACGTAGCTCAAATCGGGCCAGAAGTACAGCTCGCCATCCTCCTAGCCCTGTTTATGGTTTAGGGTTTAGGGTTTAGAAAGTACCCATGAACCTCCAAGTAAACCCTAGACGCAGGGCGCAGGGTTCACCGCGCAAGCCGGCCACTCCCAGGTCAAAGTTGTCGGTGCTACTGGATTCACTCCCCTGACCCCCACCAAAAAACACCATCCCTAAACCCTAAACCCCAAACCCTAAACCCTAAACCCTAAACCCTATACAAACAAAACAGAAGAACGCAGGACTACCACTTTGGCGGTGCCTTGGAGCTCTGCAATCTTCTCAAGTCCCTAGGGCTGGAGCTACAGGCCGGAGCGGTTTAGAGTTTAGGGTTTCCTCGTCCGTGCTCAAAAAGGGTTTATTAGGATTTAGGGTTTAGGGCTTGGATTTAGGATTTCACGCTAAGGAAAGGCTCTGCGGGCGTAGCTCTTAGGATATAATAATATGCTGGCCTTACGATGTTGGGCTTTGTCGTTGCTGTAAGGTTATTTTTCAAGAGAACCCTGCTGAAAAAAGTGGGTTTGGCGCTAGTTAAGGGGCTTGGCTGAAATTCAGATTCAGGTATCAGGCTTGTTGTATTTGAGTCCCTGTAAGCTTGTCGGTGCTGTTTTACCAGCATGCAGAAATGTGCAGGCTGGAGTAGAGTTTTGGCTTTAGGTTTGAGGGACCAGCGTGAGAAGCGACCGCGCGTGCTCGGACATAAATGGCATGAACCCCTCAACTAAGGAATAGACCATAAACTATATAAGGATCCCTAGTATGGTTTGAGGTATATTCCTTAATTAAGGGGTTTTATAAGGGCCCTTTGATTGCTCATCAGCCCATACATGCGCACGCGAACACTTGCGTCTCGCAAGGAAGGCCATGAACTGCCTGGCCCAGCTGAGCAATACACACTAGCTCAAACAGGATGCGGATTTGTCCTAAGCCCGAAGCCCGAAACCGGATCCTTACTTGGTTCAAAGCTAGACCATCATCCACGGCCCTGATTCGACCTGTTCCCTCATTGAGGGGTATTGGGCTGTCTAGGCTCAGGTCTCAAATGCTGAGGCTTGGCTCACGCCTTTTGCGGGTTGCTGTTAAGGAGCGACTAGTATAAGTCAAGTGTTGCCACAATAAAGAACGCCATGCTATGTACTATATCTAGGCTCAGGGTTTCGGGTTTCGGGTTCCAGTCCCTTAACTGCGACCCAGTGTTTGCAGCTCTCGGCTTTTGGCTGCTCGCTGCTCAGGATGTAAGGTCTCAGGCAAGTCAACCCTAAACGCCCGAAGCCCTAAACCCGGCGACTCCTCCACCTTGTACCCCTAAAGGTTTCACCCTTGGGGTTTAGGGTTTAGGGTCTAGGGTTTAGGGCTATTCCGGGAGTCTGGGTTTCTTGGCAGCGATCTTTTCCACGCTGGCTTTCTAGGCTTTGAGGAAGGCTCTAAGGGCCGGGCGGCTGGCTTTCGCGCACGCCCAGTAGTGCCATCCATCCCTTTTCTAGGGACTAGGCCCTGGTAAGCTGCATTAAGTCAGTAAATGAAAGGGTACCCAAAGAGCCCAATGCCCCTGAATCCGGGAAAATACCTCTGGTCCCTTTTGGTGTCACCATTACAAGGCGGCCCTAATATTTCGGGAACCAAAAAGGGACCATAATTTCGAGAACTGGCCAGTTCTTGTAGTTCAAGGATTATCCTTAGACCATGCTAAAATTTTCCCTCTATAGTTCAAGGTATATTCCGAAAGGGGTTTCAAGGGCTCTCTGGGAAAACAATCCCGAACTCAGAGTCTCTTGACGCAGGCAGTGATGTCCTTCCACCAGGCAGGGGTGGAGGTAGAGGGTTTAGGGTTTAGGGCTTAGGGTTTAGGGTTCAGGGTTCGGGGTTTAGGGTTGGGTAGTTGCCCCTCTCAGAAGATGGTTGATTGGCATACATGAGTGTTGTTGGTCAGACACAGTCGATGTGGGGTGACTGACGATCTCTGCGCAATGGCATGTTGCTGCGAAGCGCACGCACACGCAGCATTCGGCTTGCAACAGTAGTAGCAAGCCGGGTCTATTCGCCAACAGTTGGCTTGCTCCAATAAACGATATACGGCAATTTGGTGATCACATGCAGGGAGGCCGGGACGCGTTGGCTGCAAGAACTACAAATCTGCTGTGCTATAAGACACTAGCCTTTATGAAGCCTACCCGGAGACTGCAGTACCCCTTATTTTAGGAATACTCCTTAAACCATATAAGGAACCGCACTATAATTTAAGGAATATTCCTTGATTAAGGGGCATTGGAGTCCCTGGGTAAATCATTTCCCTAAATCCTAAACCCTAAACCCCAAACCCTAAACCCTAAACCCTGACTTTCGCCAGTGCGGTGGCAACGTGGGCGACACCGTCAGCTACCCGCTGCCGGCGGGCGGGTTGGAGGGAAAGAAAGGGGACTTCGGGATTAGGGTTTAAGGTTTAGGGTTTAGGGCACCCTAAACCCTAAACCCTATAAACCCTAGCACCTGCCGCATCACTTGTTTCGGTTCTTCGTAACCCAATGGTTCCATCAGATTGCCGTAGAACCTTCAAAAAATATACCCCCTCTGGGATGCTGAGCATACTTGGAGGTTCATGCGAAGTATTACTTGCCTAAGAACCCTTGAACAAATAAAGCTCCCTCTCCGACCCTGGTTTTTGCGTTGCTAGAAGCGTAGTCAGAATAACTTTTTACCCAGAAGCCTCCAAGTACAGGTCAGTCCTCAAAGCCTCATCGAGATGTGCCTCCAAAGTTTAGAGAGTTTAGGGTTTAGGGTTAGGGGCAAGCAAGCTTGGGAATCTGAAAGCACAATAAACAACCGCGGCAGGTGTGGATTTTTGATGAGCTCGCACATGGCGGCCGTAAGATAAGGAAAGGTCCTAAGGTAGCAGGGCCCCTTTTGCCGATGGCACGATTCTAACCCTGAACCCTGAACCCTGAACCCTGAACCCTGAACCCCAAACCCCAAACCCCAAACCCCAAACCCCAAACCCCAAACCCGAAACCCTAAACCCTAAACCCTACACCCTAAACCCTCCCTCAACGACGAGGGCGGGAGGGGGGGGCGTACCTTGAGACCCTCAGAGACCGCAGGAGTGGTGTCTGAAGAAGGCGAAAGCTGGAGGCTTCCTCTACAAAAGCATCTTCGCCCCCAAAGGGTTTAGGGTTTAGGGTTTAGGGTTTAGTGTTTAGGGTTTAGGGTTTAGGGTTAGAATGAGCTGGAGGCCTTCCTCTACAAAAGCATCTTCGCCCTAAGAAGGGGCTCGGGGTCTAGGGCCCGAAGGTTGAGGGACATCAGGGTTTAGGGTTTGGGGTTTAGGGTTTAGGGTTTAGGGTGCCTCTTGCAAAGGGCTTTAGGGGTTCGCAGAAAGGCAGGGGCCGGGCGGTATGCAGGGCGTTTGCAGGCAAAGCTTGCGCGGGGTGCCTAGAACGGCGTGGGCCAGCCCAAATTCGAAGACCTACCTGCAACACAAAGTGGTTCCGGGGCCGAGACACTTTAAAGATCTGCGGGCCCTAATGCCTTTTTGGGCCTTCCAAGCCTTTGGGAATTTTCAGTTTTTGTAGGACCTAAATCCACCCCAGGGACCTAAAGTGCGGGTGGCCAAAAAAACAACTCTAAACACTAGACCCTGAACCCTATAGACCCTAAACACCCAGAACTCAATGCCTAAATCCTCCCAAGCTCAGGCAAGTGGGGCGTCACGTCCGAGGCCTTTCGGCAGAACCGGCGCTTCAAGGGAACCTCACACCCCAAAGGTAAAAACTCATCCAAGACACTGCATCCGAAACCCTGTCATCAAAAAAACTCAATGTCTACCCCGAACCCGAAAGCACTTTTTTTGTTTTCGGGCAAGGGGGTCGATGTATATATAATATATCAAATATGTATATGTGCATATATATATATATATATCTGTGTGTGTGTGTTTCCGTGTTTATTTGCTATATGCATATTTATAATTAGATGTATGTCTGCTACATCTGCTAGTCTAGCATCTACTTTGATTCTACGTTGTCTACCGTATCTACAGTAGCTGGGAGATGCGACACATCCATGTGTATATATGCATAGACAGTGTATGTACGTACCTCTACGTTATGTGCCTTACAACTTCTTCTATGTGTTCGGAATGTGTTCATCTGTCTATGGATCTATCTATCTACTATCCATCCTTATTATACCTCAAGCCTCCCGCCCGAGATAAAGCCGAGGAGAAGGAGGTTGAAATAGTATCAGGTAGAAGGACTACAACTCCGAATGATCCCACAGCAGACCCACCCTGCCGTTACAGGACTGCCTCTCCCTCTCTGCGGATAAGCAGCAGATCTTTCCGACAGCATCTGGGGGCACGCGCACAGCATTGCAGTGCTACCAGGCAAGGCTGTTGTGTCAGGGCTTGGTCACCCAGTGGTACCTTTTGCCCAACATGAGTTCCAGATTCCATATATCCCCCTTAGGAATTAAAATCCCAGAACTATACTCCCCTTAGAACCTTCATAAAACTCATATTTTTAATATCCTCTTGGGTTCCCTAGGTAAAAGTCGCCAGCTGCCAAAATCGCCAGCGGTAGACATGTCACGAGACATATGGATCGGACAGCGGCCTTCCCACTTCCCGCGCAGTGTAGAGTCTAACATGCAACATACGGCTAGTGGGCCGAAAGTACTAACATCCATGCAGATATCCAGAGAGCCTACTACCCTTTACTTCATCTGATATAGCTTACATCAGAACAAGAATCCCTCAAAGGAACATTCCTTGATTAAGGGATGTTTGGCTCTCTGACTCTCTGGGTCCTGAATCCGTTACGTCCGTAGTCCTTGGATGAAAGGCCCTCTTGTTAGATTGACAGACTAGGCAGGGGCCCTGGGGAGGTCCTTCTCACGTTCCCATTTGGGGTCAAAGGAACCTTTTTCAAGGCATCTCATTTGACAGAGTTTGACGGGGCCTAGGCCCCAAACCCAAAACCTAAATCCAGTCGTAAAGTTGGGGCTCTGAAGTGCAGTGTCCTCTCTGCAGTTGCCCCGTGGTGCTTGGCTAGCCGGGCGGCAGAAAGAAACTAAACCAACCTTCAAACCCCCGTAGCTGGCAGGACTACATGGTCGCGTTCCTGAAAGCCATGGGCATGCACGTCGGTTCCACGATTTGCGAGCTCCAGGCCAGCCCCTGCGTCCCACACGATTTCGGATTTTGGGTTTAGCGTTTGCACGGAGGTTCATGGGTAGTTCTTGGTAGGGTTATAAGTATGGCAACTCTACTTACAACCCTTTTCAGGGCACATAGAACCATTCCGAAGACTGGCTCTGTACTCTACCATGCGCTCATCCTTCTTGTAGGAGCCCAGAATAGTCCCTACTTTTCGGGAGTCCATTACAGGGTTTAGGGTTTAGGGTTTAGGGTTCAGGGTCTGTTCACTGCATTGGCGATTTAGAGGGGGCCATACGAGTGGCATCGCCAAGAACAGTTTAGAAGGTACCGTACTTCCATAAGATGCCATGGATGCTCAATGCTCAAGGGCGCAAAACCTGCAAACTCATTGGGGCCTCCCTAAACCCTAAACCCTAAAACCCCAAACCCTAAAACCCTCAACCCTAAACCCCAAACCCTAAACCCCAAAGAACCTCAATGCCGTGGCTAGTCGGGTGGCAAAAAAAAACCCTCAACCCTAAACCCTAAAGGTGGCGGGGAGGTCTCCCTAAACCCCAAACCCTAAAACCCTCAACCTCAAACCCCAAACCCCGAACCCTAAAAACCCTCAACCCTAAACCCTAAAAACCCTAAAATGTGGGCGGGGGGGAGAGGTATGTGATGTAGGGAAGGTTAGGGAAGTTTAGGGCATCATTGGGATGCCCCCGCCCTTCCCTTTGCTGTTGGACCAAAATTAAATTGGCGACTTGGAAGCCCTTTGAGCTTGGTAGGGTTTAGGGTTTAGGGTTTAGGATTTAGGGTTTGGGGTTTAGGGTTTAGGGTTTAGGGTTAGCAGGTTGGGTTCTGGGGATGATTCTAGGGTCTCTAGGCGATGCTACGTCGACTTCCTACGCCGCAAGAGCCTCCAAGTAGCTGGTGTCAGGTTGGAATGGGCCCGTGCGGCGAGCTGCGGTATCCATCCTACCTCATGCCCGGCACCCTAGCCGGCGGGGGCCTGCTTGGACGTTCCGAGGTAGTTTTACGTATGGGGTTGGAAGTCTGGTATTCTTGCTTTTAAGTCGTACTTGGTGTACTTCTAACGCTGCAGATGACTACCCATGAACCTCCAAGTAGGCTAGAAGGAATGCACTACGCTGGGAGCGGAGGGGGGGGGGGGGTGGGGCTCACCATTCCTTGTACCTCCGAGAGTCTATTCAGATATGCTGGCGCCGTCCTCAGCCCATGCTTCCAAAATTGAAGCGCCAAGAAAAGGCCAGCGCCCCATGTGCAAGGTGCATGGTGGGACAGGTTCGGGGTTTAGGGTTTAGGGTTTAGGGTTTAACGGTTTAGGGTTGTAGAATCATCAGAAGGTGTCGGGAGCTCCGCTAGGATCTCTATCCCGGGCCCGTGATGAGGTCGAATGGCTGGAACTGGCCAGGCGTGGGGATTGTCATGGCCTACGACAAGGGCATGATGCAGATGCTCAAGGTCGATGGGTTGCTTTCCGAGGTAGAAGGTGGAGTTTAGCTGATAACCCTGCCCTAAAGCTTAAAGCGTAGGCAGGTGGCAAAACGCCCTTTTTAAACCCTAAACCATTATTGGTTTCAGAGTACCCTTATTGTATTGGAACATATTGTCAGCGCGCTTGAAGGGCCAGCCTAGTTGATGAAGGAGGCGGGGATTGAGAGTCTTCACCTTGCCTGCAGCTCTCGCGGAGCATGAACGGCATGGCGTCCGCCCTACACCCGACACCCTAAACTTTATACCCTCAGCGCCCGAAGGGTTGCCAAAACCGTGTTTGCCTAGCCACCCCGCCCCTTTTTTCCTTCTTGACTTGCTGGTCCTTAGTATGGAATGAGGGAATTAGGTACCACATACTTGCCTGTTGATTTGTCTTGAATTCTATATAGGTTCAACAAAATCATCCCTAGGGTCACGGGGAAAAAGGGCTCTCAAGGTAGCTACATACGATGGCCCCTGACCTCTTCTAAAGGGCTCGGATGCATGGGCCCTTGGTTTTATGAGGGTAAATAGGGCCCATTTTCATGGACCATGGAACTACTCTCCCTAAACCCTACACCCCAAACCCTAAATCCTAAACCCCAAGCCCTAAACCCTAAACACCAAACCCCAAATTCTAAACCCAAATTCCAAACCCTAAACCCTAAACCCTAAACCCTAAACACTCAGCTATGCGGGAGCGAAAAAACCCTCACAAGCGCATCGCAGCCCTCAGCCGAGGACGAGGCCGGAATGACCGACCCGCCAAAGTCGCTCCCGGAGGACCAGAATGCGATGCGGGGACCCCCCAGCTTGATGGTTTAGGGTTTAGAGGTTGAAGGTTGAGGGTTTAGGGTTGGGGGGTTTGGAGTTTGGGGTTTAGGGGTTTAGGGGTGTACTTGTTTTCTGGGTTTAGGGGTTAGGGTGTAGGGTGCCAGAAGGGTTGCCTGGAGGTTCATTTGCGCAGTTCAGCGTAGAGTTGCGGGTACTCTAACTAAAAGTAGAGTTACCATACTTGTAATCCTACTGATAGCTACCCATGAAAGGGCTGGAGCTCAAAAGGCTTCAGGGTTGGGGGCTGGTTTTCTCTTTGAGAAGTGTTGGGGTTGCTGGCACATCATGTTGCCATGCGATTGGCTCACTCTCCCGCGCACCTTCCACGTGTCTGGGTGGCATCCCTTTCTCGTCCCTCAAAGGCCTCTTTTTGGGGTTGATTGTGGGAGAGCCCAAGGCCCGGTCGCCCATCCTGGTAAGGGGTGAGATTGACGTTTAGGGTTTAGGGTTTAGGGTTTACGGAGCCATGGGTTTAGAGGTCTAGATGTTGAGCGCAGACCCTTTACACAATCGAGGTAACGGCAGAAGTCGTTCTTTGGTCATCTTCCAACCCTAAACCCTAGATTTCCAAATCCTAAGCCCTAAGCCAGCCAAACCACTCTCGGAAGCATGAAGCCCGTCGGAAACCTAATCCGGCCCAAGCTGGTCGGAAGCAAAATCCTCGACGTGTGGTCAGTTCCTAGTTAAATTGCCGTCGTTTCTGGGGATCCCTATTTTGATTCGGAGCCCCATACCTGAAATCGAGAACATGAACAAGACTCCGATCATCCTGAACCAAATCTCCCATCTCCGCTTTACAAAACAGCAAGGCAAGCTAGAACCCTATGCCCCAAAGGTCCTAGGCCCTACACGCTACAAGCCCTCAACGCGACTCAAAAGCCCTGGAAAGCCGAACCCTCCACATCTTCAGCAGAAAGTTATTACCAAGCCCCAAACCCTAAACCCTAAACCCTAAACCCCAAACCCTAAACCCCAAACCCTAAACCCTAAACCCTAAACCCCAACCCCAAACCCTAAACCCCAAACCCTAAGCCCCAAACCCCAAACCCCAAACCCTAAACCCTAAACCCTAAACCCTAAACCCCAAACCCTAAACCCCAACCTTAAACCCCAAACCCCAAACTCCAAACCCTAAACCCTAAACCCTACCCTTCTTTCACGCAGCAAAAATCCCGAGGCCAGACGACATCCCCATCTTCAAGGCACCGGGCTTCGAGTTCCGAAGCGGGGCCGGCAAGGTGCGCGGGTTGGAGGGGTTTAGGGTTTAGGCGTTTAGGGTTTGGGGTTTAGGGTTTAGGGTTTAGGCGTTTATTGGGTTTAGGGTTTGGGGTTGAGTGGGTTGAGGGTTTAGGGGGTTTACGGTTTGGGGTTGAGTGGGTTGAGGGTTTAGGGGGTTTACGGGGTTTGGGGTTGATTGGGTTTTGGGTTTGGGGTTTAGGGTTTCTTCGGTTTAGGGCTTAGGGTTTCGGGTTTAGGGTCGAGGGGTTGAGGGTTTAGGGTTGATACGGGGGTCTAGGGCTTAGTGTAGGGTTGATTTCAGATGCGAAAAGGGTTGAGGTTTAGGGTAGGGTTGTGGGGCAACAAAGGGGCTAAACCGGGGGGGGGGGGGTGTTTGGGTTGAGAGTTGAAAGCAACAACAACACGGCTTGGGGCTTCAAGGGCTTTCTACGAAGCATTTGAGGGGTTCCAGGTTCCTTTGTAACCATTGTAACCAGTCTCCGGCTTGGCATCTATTTTTGCGGTTTGCTAGGTCGCCGCACCCCATCCCCAACAATAAGCCCTAAACCCTAAACTGCAACCTAAAACACCCTAAACCCCTACACCCCAAACCCTAAACCTTCCGAGACTTGCACCTTTGATAACCTTTATTTAACTGAAAGCCCGATAGAGTTGTCTGTGAACCCGTAAAGACGCCCACTCGCCCTGCCCCCCCCCCCCCCCAGACCCCGAAAACCCAAACGCCCCTAAAGCCCCCAAGTTAGGCTTTAGGGTTTAGGGTCCTAAAACCTAAAACCTTCACCCTGAACCCACAGCGCCAGACCCTGAGAACTACTGCAGCCGGGGTGGGGGGTGGGGGCAGACCTTCCTCGAGTGGTACTCGTCGGTGCTCCTTCGCCACGGCCGGGTGCCTGGTAGCGCCGTATCAAGATGGTGGAAAAAGATAGTACATCTGAGTATTCGATATGCAGGCCATACGTACAGACGCGGACACAGATGTAGGCATAAAAAGAGCAGAATCATAGACATCGACCTATACATGTGCATGGTGGCATACATGCACGAACTCACATGTATGCAGAAAAGAGTATGTATACATACATAATTTCAGTACACACGTATGTGCAAAGAGATGGTGCACATGTACATGTTAAGTTCGATATAAGCAAGTCGACGCATGCATGCATACTTAATTACATGCGGCAACGTCTCCTCAATCTGCGACTTGGAGGTTCATGGGTGATTATAAGTAGGGTAATAAGTACCCTAAACAGGGTTTTATGTAGAGTTACCCTACTTGTAACCCTAAACCTGAAGATTTCTTGCCGTTTTCCCATTACGAGTAGGGACGTGGAGGTGCACACGCTTGGAGCTCAGATTGATGGTACTGCCTAAACCCTAAACCCTAAACCCTAAATCCTAAACCCTAAACCCTAAACCCTAAGCCCTACTTACGACGACCCACTTACCTCTAAGTAGACCTTGCGCGCGCCCGAGGCAAGGACGTGCTGAAGCAGGCGCAGCAGGCCATCGAGCGAGCCGGCGGCGCCCGGGCCTCGGTATAGGGTTTAGGGTTTAGGGGGGTTAGGAGAAAGGGTTTAGGGTTTAGGGTTTACGATAACGGGTTTAGGGTTTAGGGTTTAGGGTTTAGTGCCGGGAGCCCAACATCCCCTTAACTTCGGAACTCTACCACGAAAAATGCACGCAGGGCCTTCCCCTAAACCTTATAAGCCCGAAGCCGATGATGGATGCCTACCTAAACCCCAAACCCCGAACCCTAAACCCTAAACCGCTGGTTGGTCCCGATGAAGCGCGAGGGTTCACAGGGCTCAGCTGCTCAGACGGAGACAGCCCCGAGAAGCCGAGTACTGCGATCTGCTTAGGAACCGCCAGAAAGTAAAATATAGTATTCCGACACATTGCCCTTTTATGAGGAAGCTTATGTGTATACATATATATGTATTATGTACATTTTCATATATATATATATATATATGATGTATTCTTCTTTTGTTGGGGGGAGCGGGGGGGATACGGGATTAAAGTTGAGGGATGCACAGGGTTAGGAGAGGGCTTTCCCAAGGGGTTGACAGTAGGGTTGGGGTTTTAGGGTTTAGGGTTTAGGGTTTAGGGTTTAGGGTTGGGGTTTAGGGTTTAGGGTTTAGGGTTTAGGGTTGGGGTTTAGGGTTTAGGGTTTATATAGGGTTTACGGTTTAGAGTTTAGGAGTTTAGGGTTTAGGGTTGCAGGGCCTGGGTCCAAATGCATAAATGGGCCAGGCCATGAGTGCCTTGTGATTGATTGGTCGGTTACTGGTTGCTGCTTTGGGGTTGGTGTTTGCTGTTTGTACCTAGCCGGACTTGTCCAGACTCTGATCCCACGCCCCAGCAACCCTAACCCTGGAGCAGAAACCCTAAACCAAAGGCCTCCCTAAACCCTAAACCCTAAACCCTATAAACTCTAAGCCCTAAAGTCTCCCATAAAGTTCGAGAAGGCCCAGGCTCAGTCGTTCACAGCCTCGTGTGTGGTCGTCAAGTTTTTCGCTCCTCCAAGCACCCGAGCGCTCCATCCCAGGCCTATCCCGCCGACAAGTTCTGCCTGTCTGCTTCGAAGCTGAATATTCTCCCCCTTTCATAGCCTTTCGGGCATTGGGGTTTAGGGTTTAAGCTTTAGGGTTTATTTTGTTTTAACAGTCTAAGCTCTGAATCCGCACACTGGGATGGTGTTAAGGAACTCTAACCAAGTCATAGCGTGTAAGACTTAGTATAAGATGTCGAGTTGAAGGTGGAGGGACTGGTGTTACGTAAGGAATTCAAAACCAAGCCTGAGGGCTTCAGATTTTGAGTTGAAGGTTTAGGAAATGTTAGGCACTTACCGCAGCAGGGATATGAAGTAGCATCGTATAGTTTCTTTTTTTGGGGTCTCTGGGCGACTCAGATTCCCTCCTGAAAGAGCCGAACAACCTGTGGCAGAAAAACCAATCGGTGACGCAAAGAGCCAGAGAGCCCCCCCACCCCCCCCCCCCCCCCTCCCCTCCGACCCTCCTGCACAATTCTTAAGCAACAGCCCTTCAACTCCGTGAACCCTACGCCCTAAACGCATATTAAAATGGGGGAATTAAGGGGGCAGCCCTTCAACTATGTGCGCAACCCCCCCCCCCCCCCCGGAACCCTACACTCTAAACACATGTCAGGGCACCTTGGACAAAGGAATCTTGGGAGCTTCGACACCCTTTTTGCAAGCAAGGGTTTAGGGTTTGGGGTTTAGGGTTAGGGTTTCTTGCAAGCTACTTGGAGCATGGACATGTACTTCTTAAAGCCCCGAATCCACCTCAGTATAAGGGGGCAACCCCTAAACACCAATGCCCGAAACGCTATGAAAGGGGTTCGCGGATTCAGAGCTTAGACTGTTAAAACAAAATAAACCCTTGAGCCTGAACCCTAAACCCTAAACCCGCACCCTGAACCCTATACCCAACTGGCACACAAAGCCGAGGTGAAAGTCTCAGGCCTGCACTGGCACGTCTTGGGCCCAGTCAGAAACTGTAAGGTTTCGGATTTAGGGTTTAGGTTTTAGGGCCTGAGCCCTAAACCCTCACGAGCCGAAGTTGTTCCTCTGCTGTGTGGCTGGTCTGCTTGGGGGGGGGGGGGGGAAATATGTCCTCCTGCTACAAGTAGGCTAGAAGTAGCCTAAGTGTTGCTACCCGCGAGCCTCCAAGTAATCTACCCTTAAGTAACTACTCTGAGACCGTACTGAAGCATAAAAGCCACCAGCGTCAAATCTGACATTTTGTAATTTATATACCCTAAACCCTAAACCTTAAACCCTAAACCCTAAACCCCGATCTGGTCAGCTAGGCGGGTGGCAAAAAAACCCGATCTGGGCGCCAGTGCCCTTGGGGTAAAATCATTCTCTGCTTTGTAGCTGTGAGTAACCCTACATTGTCTTGGTAGCCCAGTGGCACCCTTTACCCTTTGTTTTTTGGTTCTTAGTAGGGAATGGGGAATGAGGGCCCTATATAATCCCTTAAAGGGTATATATGGGGCCTTCACTCCCTCATTCCCTACTAAGAACCAGCCAGTTTTTTGGTTCTGGGTTCCCTTATAAAAACACCAACCCCGCAAAGGGTGCCCTTGTTAGAATATGGTTACTGGGCTACCAAGTTGTTTGAGAATTGAAGCGACGAGAGCTGCTCTTCTCGAAGGGCTTAAGAAGAACGTATATGAGGAGCTCAAGAATGAGTTCATCGCAAATAGCAAGCCGCAGCATGTAGAAGGTCCGAATACTGGACATGCTTCTCGATAAGAAGAAGCAATCTTGCTTTTGCTGCACGCGAGTACGATACACATTTGTTCACTATTTTTAGTGATATAATATGCATATATATATATATATACAGTATACACATATCTTTTTATGTATATACAAAATGAAGATGAAACTAGAGATTTAACATGCAATGTTCATAGATAGATATATATATATACCTTCCTATTTCCCAATATGAAGAAGAAAAATGCTGTCCTCTTTGGCCAAAGGCGGATACAGGCAAAAGCTTTCAAGCCACAACGTCTTTTTACACGATGTATTCTTAATAGAAAACCACCCTGCCGGACTCGGGGTTGGGGAAATTGGGAGTTTGGGGGGGCCCGGCGGTTCAGGGTGGAGGCAACAAATCTTGACATGACAGTGTGCTTTGGGGTTTAAGGTTTGGGGTTTGGGGGTGATGGTTTAGGGATGTTTGGGGTTCAGGGCTTAGGGTTTAGGGTTTAGGGTTAAGGGGCATGAAACCCTAAGTCCTGAACCTCAGCTGTTCTGCGTGGCAAAGTAGCAAGGGTCCAGGGGCCCTGAGACCCTGAAACCTCACAAGCCTGAACCCTGGCCCTAAACCCGAAACCTCTAGAGCCCTAAACCCTGCACCTCAACCAGCGATTTGGAGGCCCATAAAAAAGGCTTGAGTTGAAGGGTGTTGAAGGTTTTTTTTGCTGGGTTGTGGCTTAGCATGGCTTTAGATTTAAGAGCTCAAGGTTTTAGGGTGTAACTCTCAACCCTAAACCCCTACATAAACCCCTTTCACCCCACGGTTGAGTTCTCCCTTCTCACTCCTCTTAAAATGTACACCTAAAGCCTAAACCCCAAACTCTAAACCCTAAACCGCCAGCATATCTGCAGGTGACGCATCCCTCACGGGCCACGGAGGCGCCATTCTAAACCCTCAACCCTAAACTTGGAGACATTTGTCAGATGGAGGTTGAGAGGAGTTGTTTTGGAGCCCTAAACTCCAAACCCCCAACCCTAAACCCCCAACCCTAAACCCCCAACCCTAAACCCCTTAAATCCTGAACGAGATATACTTTCAGGACTTCTGGCCGTAGAGAGTCCATTCCTTTTACAGGTACGCCCCTTCCCCCCACCCAAAATCCATCCGCAAAGGGCGGCCGTAGCTGCAGCTGCCTTCGGATAAGTGAAACACCGAGACTATGGTTTCGGGCTTAGGGTGTAGGGTCTAGGGTTTAGGGTTTAGTTTAGGGTTGAAGGGTCATAACTCATACAACTAGGCCCCCTCAAAAACAGTTTAGTAGCTTCTATGCCCATAATCGAGGCATAGACTTTCACTCTTCGAGGGCTGTCCCTTCATCTAGGGTAGTGGAGAGACCTCTCCTATACTCCCCTTAGAACCTCAGTAAAAATACAACTTTTAATATCCTCTTGGGTTTTTATAAAAAAAAAACAATTCCCAAGGGAGACAAGCATGCCTTGGCTTCCCACGAGCGATTCGAGCAAAGGCCCAGTCCAAACCCTAAACCCTGCTAGACGGGCAAAAAAGGCCTGAACCCTAAATTCAAAACCCCTAAACCCTAAACCCTAAACCCTAAACCCTAAACTCTTTCAACCCTAACAAAAACACACCTGAACTCTAAACCCTAAACCCTAAACCAAAGCTCCTCATCTCAAGCTCCTGTGGGGTCCCTCGGTTTATCGATCTGGGGCACTGGAGGTCTCCAATAAGCTCGCACCTTTCTTTGGTGCAGTGGCAGGGGTCCTCGTGCCCCTGAAGTTAGGGTTTATAGGGTTTAGGGTTTAGGGTTTAGGGTTAGAGGCTGGGATGTTCCCCCTTATACTAACAGTAGTCCTTAATGGGGATGGTATTAGGGGGGGTACTACGTTCTCCCTAGTGCGGGCTGTTAGTATAAGGGGAACATCCCGACTCTGAACTTACTTGGAGGGAAGTAGGGGTTAGAAGTATAGTAGCGATGCTTAGAGCCCTGCTTGGGGTGCTTATAACCCTACTTGTAGCTACCCGCCTCCAAGCAGGGGTTCGTTGTACTGTATCATATCATTTGGGCCCTCAGAAAAGACAGTTGTTGGTCATTACGGGGCACTCGTATAGCGGACGGGTGGCTTGGCATTTTGCCTTGCCTTGTATGTGCTGGCGTGTGCTGCTAAACTCCCTAAACCTAAACACTGAGCCCTAAACCCTAAACCCTAAACCATAAAAAAACCCTAAACCCTAAACCCCCCCCCCCCCCTAATTCCCCCAGAAGGAAAACCTTGGTTCGATGGGCCCCCGAGGCCCTGTTGGGTTTAGGGCTTAGGGTTTAGGGTTTAGGGTTTTGATGAGAAAGTGTACCTGCAGTCGAATCCGTTCTTGTCAGCTGGTTTTGTCAGGCGTGCGCTGGCTACAACTGCTGCACCAGCGAGACTGTGGGAATCCCGGCTTCCCCCCAAACCCCCCAAACCTTTCAGGTGTAGGGTTTAGGGTTAAGGCCATTTCCCTGGAGTTGGCCGCCAGCAAACCGCCCATCTGGCATGCAGTTTCGGGTTTGGTTTAGGGTTTAGGGTTTAGGGTTTAGGGTTTAGGGTTTAGGGTTTAGGGTTTAGGGTTTAGGGTTTCCTCAGGAAACGAGCTCCAGGTGACAACGACCGCATCACTAAACCCTGGAGTTTCGATATGGGTGGTTGTCAAAATGAAACCCTAAACCCTGAACCCTGAACCCTAAACCCTAAACCCTAAACCCTAAACCCTAAACCCTAAACCCTAAACCCTATTCGAATACGGCACCTAATATTTAGGGTACCCCAAATGGGATCAGAATGTTGACAGCCACCCATATGACAAGCCTTGTTCATCCTAAGGCCTGTTTGATTACAGGGTCCCTGTTCACAACAACTTATTGTAGGTCATTGTTATAAAGCCCCAGGAGAGTGGCCAGGTAGTCTACGCAAACTCGGTTTGGGTTCCAGCGAGGTAGGCCCTAGACATTCCTGAATCTACGGCTACGGCTCAAAAGCAGCTTCAGCTCCCATCCGTCGCCATCGAGACAGAGATCAACACTGTCGATGATCGGCTGTGACAAGCTGGTCATGTCTTCCCCCTCCGGGTGCGTGACTCCTCCCCCGCCTGTTGTCCACGTCATGGAACTGGCAGGAGGACCTCGTGAAGAGGACGGGGACACGGACACCCCCAAGACGGCGATGGGTGGAATCATGGTGGATGCCTTGAACAGCAAGTTGCAGCAACTGCAGGAGGAGATGTGGAACAGTGAAGCTCCTAGGCAAAAGCCCTTGGACAGCGGCTGTTTTCCCTTATGGGGTTTATAAGAGGGTCATGATTATATTAAAAATATTTTTCAGAGGGCCCTAAACTCCTAAACTCCTAAACCCTAAACCCTACACCATAAACCCTAAACCCTAAGGGCCATCCTAGGCTCGGATGGTCCCTGTCCAGATGTTTGGCAATGACTTCGCGAAGGTGCCGCTTCCTGGACAGCGGCAAGGCTCGGAGCCCCTAAACCCTAAACCCTAAACCCTAAACCCTAAACCCTAAACCCTAAACCCTAAACCCTAAACCCTAAACCCTAAACCCTAAACCCTAAACCCTAAACCCTAAACCTTCCCTGACAGCGGCCAGGCTCTGAGCCGATTCCCGTGCTGTTGCCTCCGCCCCTGCCGCATGCCATGCAGCGGCCGCCCAAGCAGTCCCTTAGTAGCTGTTAATGAGGGTTTAGGGTTTAGGGTTTGGGGTTTAGGGTTTAGGGTTTAGGGTATAGCTGCTAATGAGTACACTTTAGACACTTTTTGGGATACCAGAATCCCCTATAGAACTGAAAGCGTACATGCCACATGAAGTCAGCAACTAAGTTCATGAGTACACTTTATCCACTTTTTGGGTTACTAGAATCCTAAACCCTTAACCCTAAACCCAAGTCCCCTACAGACCTGAAATTTGTACACTTTTTTTTTTTTGGGGGGGGGGGGGGGGGCGCTTAGGAACTCAGCGCCTAAGGTCCCGACTCCGGCCCATTGGCAAGGCCAGCGTCGTCATCTCACGAGGCTCCGTAGGCCACCCCAAAACCTGCGCGGCCGCGTGCAAGTATGTGAAGCGCAAGGGCGGCTGCCGAGATGGTGCCGACTGCCTCCTGTGCCATGAGTGCTTCTGGACAAAGTCGCCTCCGCAAGAAGCAGAGAAGAAGGAGAACCAGGCCGCTCAAGCGGAAGCAGAGGTGCAAGGAAGCAGGCAGAGCACGAAGGCAGAGGAGACGATGGAGACTCTGACGGCCAAGTTCCGGCGCCTCCTCACAGAGCCAGAGGTGCCCCTGGCACCTCAGCTCCAGCATCTCCAGCAAGACCCTCCGGCCGAACTCGCCCCCCCGGGACTTCTGGCATGCCCACTCGGCTACTTGGAGGTTCATGGTACTTAATTACCACTTATAACTGGGCAGAAAAACCTCAGACTTTTTAGGGGTATTTAAAGTAGGGTTATAGGTACAGTTGTAAGTGGTTAGTATGTACCATGCACCTTCAAGTACAGCACGCAAGGACCGCAAGGACCGCCCGGGCTGCATCTCGGGATGCCCATGGGGCCCCCCATCATGCCCGGCGTGCCTCTAAACCTCGGCTCCCTGGGCCACCCCTTCAGCTGCTTGGGAGCCCAGTGGTACCCCTTTCCCCCTTTTTTTGGAGTTCTGGGTTCCTGTTATAAAAAGCAACCAACAAAAAAAGAAGGGCGCCCTTAGTGTAATGTGGTTGCTGGGGTTACTAAGGCTGTGGACCCGCCTGCAGCTCGGTCGGCCCTTGGGAGAGTTTTTTTTTTTCCTGTTGTCCCTTATTCTTGGGGTTTAAGAGGATTATGTTTAGGGGGTTTGTTGCTGTTGTCCCTTATTTTTGGATATTTTAAGAGGATCATATCTAGGAAAGTTGTTTCAGAGGGTTGTAGATTTTCCCTGCTTTCCCTTCGTGGGGCTTTCAGAGGATATTATTGAGAGGGGTACTTTTTCTAAGGGCGTTTAGAACCCTAAACCTAAACCCTAAACCCTCTCCGAGGCAAGTACGTGCTGAAGCCCCGAGGGTGCAAGGACGGAGGCATGTGCGACCACTGCCACCTCTGCCGCTGGATCCGCCACCCCCAGACCCTCAAGCTCTAACGCTGGTGATGCCAGTTATTGATGCCTAGTTTTCTTATTTCTTAAAGGAGTGCGAATGGTAATGATCATGTCATATAGTATTTAAAGCTATTTTTGTTAGTATGTTATCATGTGGTTGAGTTATTGTGTATCCGTGTAACGGAGCTGTGGCGCTGGCCTGTGGTCTTAGGGCGCAGAATACCCGAGAACTGTGGTGACCATGTTGGCAGAGATTCGCCGCAGAACAGTCGCTTGTGGGAGAGGCGGAGCCTCCCTTCCCATCTTCTGCCACGAACTTTTAGAACCTGAATGCATTGCCGCCTTCAGGGAGCCATGGGTATGTCACCTTGTTAAGGGTGTAGTCACATGTGCCTGAGAGGACGCGAAGGGTTGAGCTCCCTGGCGGAAACACCATGCACGCCCTCTTGACCAGCAGGCTCTGACACCTGGAGGGTGCCCAGAGCCGCCGTAGATGTGCCAATTTTTCTCGCACGTCGCGTTCCCCATCCGCCCAGTGGGTTACAATGCTGGCAGGCTCTGTGAAGTTCTCCTCCCCAGCCTGAGGTTGCACTGCCAGCACCGATGAGGGGAGTCTGCGAAGTTGCTCCACATATCAGGCTCTGAGTCAGCCGCTAAACTCTCAGTGTCAGCCCACGCCGACACCGCAAGTATGGGGCAATTGCCGCGGTGCTTGTCTCAGCAATGTACAGCGCCATCGAAAGCTGGGATAGGTACCACTGCGCAAGGCGAGGCACTCGTAGCATCTTCATTCTCAAGCTGTGCGTTGAAGATTGGCTTTCACAGGGGGCCATGGAGTTCAGGAGCTGAATCTTTTAGAGTCCTTCTGCCCGTTGGCTTCTCAACTGAATTCCAGGCACCCGAGTTATAGATGCTTGGCAGGGACCGTGAACACCCATCGCACTTCCACACCCGAGCACATGCTGCTGTCACAACAGGCTACCTCAAGGTTTAGAAACCCTAAACCCTAAACCCTAAACCCTAAACCCTAAACGTCTCGTTCCAGGCAGACGCCCTGTTTTCCTGCCAAGTATTGCCGCGCATCCGAAGTTTCGCACCACAGGGGGTGACCTCGTAATTACAGTATCCCGCCCATGCCGCGGGGCCGTGTAATTGTCTCAGAAGGTCCATGTGTAGTGCCATTAGCACGTAACACCCATACTTTTCAGAACCCTACTGCAACGGGACATGCTGCTCAGCATCGAGATATACTGGACACCTGTCCTAAACCCTCAACCCTAAACCCTATATACCCTAAACCAGTCCACGAAGGATTGTCCCCTGGCCGCGTGCAGACTTATAGGGGCCCAAGAAGCCACACAAACATAAGCATCCTACTATTGAAGTAAAAGGGCCCAGAAAAGGGGGGATTCTGGAAAACCTTGTTTGTAGAATCCTTATGTTTATGTGGTTTCTTCGGCCCCCAGATTTAAAGCGCTTTGAATTTGCTCTCAGCCGTTGCCCTCTAGTTGCTGACCAAGATCCCAAACACCTCCTTTCAGGTTTTTTTTTCCGGCTCCGAAAGTGTAGGGCTTAGGGTTTAGGGTTTAGGGTTTAGGGTCTAGGAGGTTTGGGGCTTCGGGCTGTGGACTAGGAAGGACCTTGGACCTGAGGCAATGGAGCTTTAAGCTGTCTAGGGCCCTACACCCTAAGCCCTAAACCCTTAACCCCAAACCCGAAACCCTAAACCCCAAACCCCAAACCCCCTAGTAGGAGGTCATTGGGCTCTCTGGATTTCTTCTGGGCACGTGACCTGACCCGTGCTTGGGTGTCTTGCACATCCAAAGCTTCGCCGGAGCCAGTGTCGCACGCAGTGCAAGAGGGGCTCGATCTTTCAGACTCTGAAGACCACACAAAAGCGGCATTTCGTACGCTTTTGCCCCAAAACCACCGCCTTCGGCTGCGAATCCTTGTCGTTTCCGGGTCATTCACGCATGGGTGTTTAGGGTTTAGGGTTTAGGGGTCATTGCCTTTTTCTAGAGTTTAGGAGCCTGCAGCCAGCCGTGCAATTGTTGAGGGGAGAAAAAAAACCCGACGCCAGCCCTCCGGGCTTTACAGGCTGTGAGACACTTCCACGCAATGGCGGAATCATAAGCACAGTCACAGTCGACATAGTCGAGGCACAAGAGGTGCAGAGTCAGATTCCTTCTTCCCACCGTGGGGGGAGGGGGGGTGGGAACACAACAAACTGATTCTCGCTCGCATCTGGTTTTCCCCGCGAGGCCTCTTTCAATGTGTTTCCTGCTTCGGTTTTGAGAAGCCAAGGCCAGTTACCCCAATCGGCTGGGTTTAGGGTTTAAAGGGTTAGGTTTTGTGTTGAGGGTTTGTGGTTTAGGCGGCAGAAACAGAACGTAGATGACTCAACCCTACATCCTCTGTTCTGTCCGCTCCTTAGTAGGACGCGCTCCTGCATGCACGTCTCCATGCCTCCTTGCTGGCATGTCCGAGATGTGAGGGGAACCCTCCGTCCGTACCCTAAACCCTAAACCCTAAACCCCAAACCCCAATCCCCAAAACCCCAAACCCAGGCAGATGCCTACATGGCGATCGCCAGAATGTTGGCCGAGTCCTCCAAAGAAGCGAAGAGGCTTCGGTTGAGTGTTAGGGTTTAGGGTTTAGGGCGTTTAGGGTTTAGGGTGAGGGGTTTGGGGTTTAGGGGGTGACTCTGATGTACCAAACGGGATTCAGGGTACCCAAAGAGCCCAATACCCCTTTAATTAGGGAACATACCTTAAATCATACTAACGATCCCTATCTGGCATCAGGGAAATTCCTTAAATTAAGGGGTATAGGGCTATTTGGGTAAGGCTCATGTCAACAGTGTTTAGGGTAGCCTATTTATAAGAGCAGTGGAGCAGGAAGAGGTGGCCTCAATTTTGACAGGGTATTTTGCTCCGCCTTTAAGGTGATTAGGACCAAACGCAAAGCCTAAACTCAGGCGCAAGAATTCATTTCTCTTAGCTGGCTGCGGCTCACTCTATACTATGGCTCCTTCAGGGATTACGGGTTCGGGGCTCCTTCTTGGGTACCGAAAGAAAGAGGGCCATATAACTGACCAGTTCAACCCTGAATCCTAAAACCGGAAAGCCCTAAAGCAAACCCTAAACCCTATACCCACCCTAACCTAAACGTAAATTCGAAAAACATCTCCCACTCAGAGCTCTCACTGGCTTCCTGCGGCTTCCAATAGGGTTTAGGGTTTAGTTCCTGTATGGCTTGTAGGGTTTATCGGGCCCCTATGGGGCTTGTGCAGCCGGGCGTTTGTAGAAAGCCTGATGGGGAAGGGTTTAGGGGTTTGTGTTTTGGGAACCCATGATGACTTGCTTGGGCTTTACTTCGTAGTAGAGTAGGTAACCTTTAACCTTTTTGGGGTAATATATTCCCCTTATAATCCCAAAGGTTGATCTTTAAAACCCCTAGGTACTGGACAACTAAGTTTAGGTTTTTAAGGCTTTTGGGGGGCAACGCCGCCAGGACCCGCATGGGCTTGGTTTGTTTTCACAGCTGGTGCCCCTCACCAGGCCGATTCTGTTCAACTTCACCTGCATGGAGATGAAGAACGACGACAACAGTCGCTCGGCGTTTGTGTGGTTGAGACAAACCCCTAAACCCTAAACCAGCGAGCGGTTCAAATAACCCTAAACCCTAAACCCTAAAAGCCGGTGGGAGGTTGGACTATGCATATAGCCCACCACGACCATGATTGCCTGGGCTCTAGAAACAGCTCCTAAACTGCAGCTCCAACGTCAATGGCTGCCAGGTGGTGTGCCCAAGGCTCTGTCTGCGCCGGAGGACGCCAAGTTCACTTCGGGCACCCTTACTCCTACAGTAAATTTAACCTACAGTAAATTTAACCTACAGTAAATTTAACCTACAGCAAATTTAACCTACAGTAAATTCCAGCAAGCTTGAACATGGTTTAAGGATGACTAGAGCTGGGATTCCCTGTAGCATACCTTTTGGGGCCTGGGAATAAGTTTTGGCGTTTACTGTATTCTAGGACCCCCTCCCCCCCTGTTTGGGGGAGGTGAGCGTGTTTCATGCCCTTACTTCGTAGTAGAGTAGGTAACCTTTAACCTTTTTGGGGTAATATATTCCCCTTAGAATCCCAAAGGTTAACCTTTAAAACCCCTGGGTACTGGACAACTCAGCTTAAGGTGTTGGAGTCCTTGGCTTGTTGGGCCTGTTGCAGTCGGCAGGAGCCAATTCCAGACCAAGCTTACCCAAAGAGCCCATACTTCTCAGTTTAAGAATATGGCGATCCTATGCGATCCCTTATGTAGTTTAAGGTATTTTGGGTTAGTATTAATTTAGGGGGATCCCTAATTGTGCGGTTTAAGGTATTTAGGTTAAGGGGCATGGTGCTGCTCGCCAACCCCATGCATGGCTTCTCGGTTGGACGTGACAGGACCTCATAGCGCAAGTGCGCAAAGCTTGTATTTTCCATCAAGTGCCCCTGGCAGGCCGGCTTCGGGGACTCCAAAACAATTGTTTCGGTGTTTAGGGTTTACGGTTGTGGGTTTAGGGTGAAATTATGGAATATCCCTTAAACATATTAGGGTTCCTTATATGGTTTAAGGAAGATTTTCGGGTACTGGAATCTCTGGAAATTCTTCAGGGTTCAAGGGGTGTTCGGGGAGTTGGTGTAGGCCTCTATTTGTGCGAGCATCCGCGAGTCTCTGCAGGCTAAAAGTTCGTCGCACCCCCACTGCTGGAAGATAGCAAACTCTACGGGCCTCCCCTTTTCCCCTCCTAGACTCCTCCGCCAACTCCATGGGATGTTTCGAGTGAACGAATTCCTTTGCCTTGTCGCGCACAGGGACTTGCGCATGAGGATCTCAAAGAGAATTAAAGCCTAAACCCCAAACCCCAAACCCTAAACCCTAAACCACTAGACACTTGCCCTGATTGCAATGAGAAAAATCGAACCCTCGCCACTCAAACCCAAAGAGCCACAACGAGCCCAATACCTCTTTAATTAAGGAATATACCTCCAACCATAC